GATTTAGGACTGTTATGAATTTCTGCTCTCCACTGTGATTTAATGTAGTTTGACCTACACTGAGTATCCCTGCTGATTCCTTTGCCCTGTTGGAATTGGGAATGGAAAGAAAATGATTTTGTGCAGTTATGACTGTGTGGAAACAGCAGTGAAAGACGATGAAGTCAGAACTGTTGGTGTTTCGTCCTGCCGTGTCCAAACTTTCAGGGCCCCCCCAGACTCTTTCTTTGAGAACATTTCAATTCACTTCAAACTTAATCCATTTTTGCTGGAGAAGATGCCCGGAGCCTCAGGAATCACATGCTCCTGGCAAAGCCACATGAGCACTTCTGCTTTAAAAAGTTGCATGTTTTGAAGCCTTGCCTTGTCTAAAAACGCGCTTTGGCAGACGGTTTTAATTTATTAATCCCGTGTAATGGCACTGCTTGTGTTCCTTGTAGAAAACTCATCATTTCTGCAGGGAGAGAGTATTCCAGGTCAGATCACCTCCCTGCTGTGGCCCTTTGGTGTGGATGGCAGGGATAAAGAGAGTAGGGCTGTGATACCACGACGCACGTGCTTTGGTCCCCAGGCTGGGGGGAACAGATGGTCAGATCATGCCTTGGTGGAAACTCTCAAAACGTGAAGTTCCTTCAGTTACCAGATCACAGAAAACTATTTTGGGGGCAGCAATTCACAAACCTCAAAATGCTCCTTGTCGTGTTTTCTGGGGAGGGCCCTGGCTCTTCTCCAGCAGAGTCTTCCTCTCTGTCACAATCCAGCCCTTTGCTATTTTATGCAGATTTTACACAAGACGTGCTCGAATCCAATATGCGCTGACAATATTTGATCCCCTCCTGCTGTAATGTTGGAAGTATCTGCTTAGAAAGGAATTGTTTCCTTTTTTTTTTTTTTTCCCCCTTCTCTTTTTTCAGTCTAATTTCCAAGTCATGACATGTAGAGGGTGTCTGAGCAAATCTACTCAGCCTTCTGCCTCGTTTGAGAAGGACAGCTGAGATCCTCTTTAACACCTCCATTTCTTCGTTGCTGCAATCTGTTTTGATTAAAATTGCACGGGGCCCTCATCTGCATATTTATCACTCCACATACCCACAAATCATCTCCCAGCTCTGCCACTCCTCAGTGTTCAGGACAGACTAAAGTGCTACACCAGGACTCTCAGCTATGCAGACGTTAATTTAGTTTCTCACACCTGCTGGTTTCCAGCAAATACGTCTTTGGGGAAGGAAAATATTCATACATTACCTTTGCTTAGTATTCCCCAGGAGTCAGAATTACTGGAGGGTTTTTTTTTTTTTTCAAAGATGGATTGAAAATTTCCTATTAAGAAACAAATTTCAAATTAAATGGAAAGGTCCTGAAAAAGTTCTGATGCCAGGAGGCAGCTGAGGGGAAGGGGGAATGTTTAAACAAAGAAATAACCCTTTTTAATAACGTTTTTTCAGCTTTTGACAGCCAGACTGTGACACATTTTCAGATCCTCAGATGAAAGGGCTGCAGTGGAAATGAAAATTATTCCTTCCCTTTGTGCTTTTGACAGGCCATCTTATTTCCACCACATATTATTAAGAGTATTACTAGCCACTGACCAAGTTTTTAAAGAGTGTTTTCCTAAAATAGTATTTTCTTTCCTTTTGATTACATCTCACTTTCACACTTAGTGTTTCTACAAGGAAAATTTTTTTGCCTGAATCTCCTTCTACCTCAGCTGCTGCAGGGATGCCATGATTTGCTTCTCAATTCACAGCTTCTAATTTTTAATAGTCCAAAGGAAGTCTGAATTGAAGTCAGGAAATCAGGTTGTGATTTCCTGATTTTCTGCAGGAAGTCAGGAAATTTTGGATGTGTGAGAGGCCACAGCACCTTTTGTTCTTCTTTATATTGTGGTTGTACCTCAGGGAGCAGGAGAGAGTAAGAGATAGGTCTTGCCCAGGGAGGGTGATGGCTGTGGGGAGATGCCAATGGCCAGATGGGGAGAACATGAACTCTAGACTTTATTATTCTGCATGACAAGCTGAACAATTTGCAGACCAACCACACAATCAGTGCCAAGGTTTATGAAGCAGTTGGGTTGTAGTCAGGCTGGCAGGAGGGTCACAGTTCATTAGGATGAGTAATATCCTGTATTAGACAAACTGCCTGTAGAAATCTGACACGTTCCTGGTCACCTCAGCATACCTGAGAGATGTGGTACAGACCTCACCCAGCTCCTCCTACATCCTGCAAGGCCAAACTCATGCTGAGAAGGGTCATCTTCTGCAAACCCTTGCTGCAAGTCTTTGATGTGCCTGTAAACTCTCCAGCAGCTGATGTCTGCAAAGAAAATATAGAGAGGTTTAAAACACAATCTACACGGACTGTTCTGAAAGGAAGGTGAGGGAAAATGGAGGAATAACAGAGCCTGACAGTTGCTGTGGCTTCCATTTCTCTCCAGAACCTGCTCCAGGGTGGTCCATTGTGGCCTGAGCTGTTGTTTAGATGTGCTTGAGGAATTGGGGTCGGAGAGAAGGATGTCATCTTTGTTCTTCCAGCCAAAATTATGGCTAATTTATAAATAACTGTATGAAGCTGCCTCGTTTTGTAGATGTCAGATCCAGGAGTGGAGCTCAGCTGATCCTGCTGGGTCCTTGGCAGGTCAGATGAGAAACACCTGATCTGGATAAGTGAGCTCAGACATCACAGGAGGTGTCACAACACAGGGGTCACAGGGCAGACATGGAATGCTCTGCTAGACCACCACAAGGATTCTTCATAAACTCCAAAAGGATGTCAGCCAAGAGACATTAAATCTTCCAGTATCATCTGTAAGCTGAAAGGTTTGGCTGCCTCTAATGCAGGGAGTATCCAGGAAAAGTCCTGGTGCTCCTGTGGCTTTCATCAGTAGCAAAGGGGACAGTGTCGGGGGCTCTTCCATGAAGAAGTTTCTTCATTTTCCAGGCATATTAAAGAAATAACAGTCTGTGCCATCATTAAGTGATATGTAAACTCACACTGGTCAGCAGAAAAAAGTGCAATCCATTTTCTTGGTTTGGGCAAGGCCCATATTCTTGTAGGTTGGGATTTACAAAAGCCATAAGGAAATCGATGCTCAACTCTCACTAAAATTCAGTGAGAATTAGATGCAGAGCTGCTTCCAGTTTGTTCCACTTTCCATTGGTGATCCATCTGTCAAGCAGCCTGTCCCCTGCTTGGGGGTTAGGCACCAGTTTTAGCTGTATGACCTTGTCTTGGGGCGAAAAGTGCAGAGCACACGGAATCCCACTGCACCGAAATCAATCTGCAAACCCCAAGTGGGACTGTTTGAGAGTAAAATCCCACTTCAAATACAGTCCTGAACATGTTTCATGAGCTGGCAACCCAATTTAGAGATTGGCCTGAGTCACAAACGAGACCTGGGCCATGTCTGTCTCTGTTATTCTTTATTAACAACCTTGTGATCTCTTCTGGTGCAGACAGGGCTTGCAGACATATTTGAGCAAATGGGGTAAGTGTTAGAAATAGCTTAAAGCTGAATACTTTTCCATGACAAGAAAAAAAGCCTTCCCTGCTGCTTGTTTACTTCTGATTTATTCCCTGGTAAAAAGGGGTGAAGTTTGCTCTTTGTGAGCTCAACACTGGCTACAAAAAACACCGAATTCAGTGAACTGTCTGATCTATTATTGTCATTCTCCCACAAAAGCAGCTGGGGTAGCATGGGAAAAATGATCTCTATGCTTTGGGGGAAGCAGAAGGGTGGGAGAAGCTGGTCTCTCATCTGACAAATGAATTATCATCAAATCAGGGATATATAGAGAATAAACTACTGTTTCCCCCATTACTGGCATTTCTCTACCTTACAGTCACTGGCCTGACCATTTAACCAAGTTTTGCTGGGAATAGGAAGGAAAACAAATGCTGGGATGACATTTATTAGGTGTGCTTGTTCAGCTCAGTCCATTTGCTGCCCTGGGTTCTCGCTCTACGTGCTGAAGGGCTGACTCTGCATGGAAGTCAGTGGATGTATTTCTGCTCCCCTGGCTCAGGGTATTTAAAAGGAACATGTACAGACTGAGGAGGAAGAGGAAATATTGAGGTAAATGAAAGGAATGAGTTTCAGGAAGAGCTGTACAGCCCAGCCAGCTTGTGACCATAAGCAGGTTATTGTGTCATAGCTGAGGAAAGCTCAGACAGAGGGAAATGTTGCGTAGAGAAAAGAGGTGTTGGCTGCTGAAAAGGCATTTCTACACATGCATTTTTATTGCTATTTCTGTTGCGTGTCTCCCTCGTTGGAGTCTCTTCTGCTTACGTCTCACTCCTTGTCTGCTAAAACATTGCTGTGATACAACACTGACAGCAGAACCTTCAGCCTGCAGAGCTCTGCAGAGAGATCCATTTACCTCTAATCAGTAGAGTAAAAGTTATTATTGGACTACAAGGCCTGGAGTTCCCATTCCCAAGCAATTGCAGTCATGAAAAGCACATGAGAAAGGGATGGAACGAGCTTTGTGGTGTTGATAAACCTTTTGACAACACCTTGAGTTTCTGACATGATCCAGCCTCCAGCAGCCTTCAAGCAGTGAATTGAGGAGTGGAGCAAATGCAGAATTTAACATCAGTTATATCATAACAGAACATATATTTATTTTACCTACCACAGTCTGAAAGTGGTATTTTGAATTGAGGTGAGACTCAGCAGGCTTCTTCACCTTGGTCTTCTGCTTGAGGCACTTAAACCTTCTAAAATCCACTATATTTGTTCTAAACCTGATATAACTGTAGTTTTCTTCTTGTCTGGTGATGTTTTGTTTGCAACCACATTGAGATCTTGGAAAACCAGGTTATTATATATAAACAACTGTTTTTATATATAAGAGTAAACTCAGCATCTTAGAGAGATGTTGGGTGGTACACTGGGTGGCACCTCAGCCCTGTTGTCCAAGGGTGCAGCACACGAGCAGTGTCCCACTTCGTTGGGTGGTGTAGCTGTGGTTCATCCCTTACACTGTTCCTTCTTCTTTCAGGGACCAAGTGTGCCAGGAAAGAAAAGGACACCCAGCTTGGTTTGAACAGGCTCTCCAGTTTCTGCTCCAGATCACAAAGGCCAAACATCCATAAGACTCTCTCAGCTCGAAACAGGACCTGAGCAGCACCATGGGACTGCCCAGCCGGCTTTTGGCCTGTGCCATCCTCGCCCTGCTGTGCCAGCACGTCACGGGGGGACTCATCAAGAGAATCATCCGGCACAAGCGGGAGACGGGGCTCAACGTGACCCTGCCAGAGGACAACCAGCCTGTGGTTTTTAACCATGTCTACAACATCAAGCTGCCTGTGGGCTCCCTCTGCTCCGTGGACCTGGACTCGGCGAGCGGCGACGCGGACCTGAAGGCGGAAATCGAGCCGGTCAGGAATTCCGAGGAGCACACGGTGAACGAGGGGAACCAGATCGTCTTCACGCACCGAATTAACATTCCCCGGCGGGCCTGTGGCTGTGCAGCTGCCCCAGACATTAAGGATCTGCTGAGCAGACTAGAGGAGCTGGAGGGGCTGGTATCCTCCCTCCGGGAGCAGTGTGCCAGCGGCGCTGGATGCTGTCCCAATTCCCAGGCAGTGGAAGGTAAGGCAGGCTGGGGAGCTGCTCTTGGGGAAACTCTCGTGCTGGCTGTCCAAGTTGTTTAGAGTAGATACTCAAATCTGTTTCAAGAACGAGCACAAGTCAACCTGTTAAATTTGAAACATAATCAAAACTGGGAATGTGCTTGGCCAGCGTGCAAGGAACATTCATTCACAGTTTCACGGGTTTGTGGATCTGTGGGTCAGAAGTTGGCCTGGGACACTTTGTAGTTGTGGCACTGAGCATGGACAGCACTTGGGCACAGTGACAACCTGAGCTGAGATTAAAACTCACACAGACCAAGCTCTTGGCTCCACGTTTTGTCCCCTTGAGGAAGCTGCCAATGTAACCATTTTCCTTTCCAAGTTTTCTTTATTAGAGACCAATAAAAATACAGCAGGACATAAGGCAGCAGACAAGCACAAATAGTTAGAGAAGCAGGGAAAAAAGGTGTCTGTCCAGCTGGTTTTTAAACTGAGGGAAGGGGGCTGGTCATACAAGAGAGGAAACACAGGTCTTCTCAGGGGTGATGTCCCTCTGAGCACAGAGCTGCTCTCACAGCTGCTGATACTGACTGTTGCCTGGCTTTTTATGTTCTGGAGTGAATGGGTGAGTAACATTTCATGGTGTATTCCCTAAAGAGGCAGTCAGGAAAGCTGCTCAGTCAGTGGAAGAGGATTTTGAGACCAGAGGAGGAATCCAGCACGCTCATTTACCAAGCAGTTGGCAGGGGCTCTTCCCTGGCATTAGAGCGAATTAAGGGATCCCTGGTAAAACAGGATTAAAAAGAAGATATTCTCTTTCAAAATTTTCAGTGATTCTCTAAATTCTGTCCCGTAGGGAGTGATAAAAGCAGCAGAAACAAATTTCTTAACACCAATTTGTAGGTGTTAAAAGGGGCATCCTTTGTGCAGCACGCTGGACATTGTGATCCTCACAAAATTAGCTCCTCTAATCAAAGCTGCCAAATGACAGGTGGACAGGGCTTTTTATTGCACACACTGTTTACATGGTCATTAGATATGACTGCCTTGCTTAACACATTTTCATTAGTTTGTTTGCGTAGTCACACCCCTGTTGGAAGTCCTTCTTTGGTCCTTCTGGGTTGTCTTCGTTGTCTTGACCTCAGTTCTTGAGCAGCCACAGCACCACTGTGCTTCACCACCAAAACTGCAACATTTGTTCTTTATCTGGGCACACAGAGCTTAGTTTACATCCTGTCTGTTTAACTTACATTCCCTTATCTCATTCTCGAGGACTCCCCTAAGGTTGTATTGTTCCTTATTTGGTCATTCCGGGCTACTGTGAGTAAAGTTTCAATTTCTCCTATCAGGAGACAGGAAAATCAGAGCTTTTTTAGGCCCTGTGTGCCACGCTGGCCTAAGGCATCCCAGGGCCAAGGGAATAATGGGTTGTAAGGGTAAATACCCTTTTTGCCAGAAGAATTCAGTTCAAGGAGATAGGTGTCACCTAGGAAGCCTTCCCCGCCTGGAAAGTGCTTTTCTCAAAGGAATTAGATGGAGTTTGTTTCCTTTCCCTTCTGCATTCCAGAGAAAGTTGAAAAGCTCTGTTTCTCTGGTATGCAGAGGGATAAGCAGATGCTGGAGGTCTCTGAAGCCAGTGGGGAGAGCTGGGTGGGGAAAAGGGAACACCAGGCGAGTCTTGCTCAGGCCCAGCTCTACTTTGCGGCCTGGTGCAGCTCTTCGTTTGTAAGTTTTTAGCGTTCTTGTCTTCAGAAGAAACCTTTTTGGGATTCTTTCCGCTGCCTTGGGCATTTCTGGGGGGATACCTGTGTGATTCTCACCCCACACGGGTTTTTCTGGCTCGTTCTGCAGGCCGCCTGGACACCACCCCTTACTGCAGCGGGCACGGCAACTACAGCCTGGAGATCTGCGGCTGCGTGTGCGAGCCGGGCTGGAAGGGCCCCAACTGCAGCCAGCCCACCTGTCCCTCCGACTGCAACGACCAGGGCAAGTGCGTGGACGGGCTCTGCGTGTGCTTCGAGGGCTACACGGGCCCGGCCTGCGGCGAGGAGCTCTGCGCCCCGGGCTGCGGCGCCCACGGGCGCTGCGTGGGCGGGCGCTGCCTGTGCCACGAGGGGTTCACCGGCGAGGACTGCGCCGAGCCCCTGTGCCCCAACAACTGCCACGGCCGCGGGCGCTGCGTGGACAGCGAGTGCGTGTGCGAGGAGGGCTTCACCGGGGAGGACTGCGGCGAGCTCATCTGCCCCAACGACTGCTTCGACCGCGGGCGCTGCCTCAACGGGACGTGCCTGTGCGAGGAGGGCTTCACCGGGGACGACTGCGGGGAGCTCAGCTGCCCCAACGACTGCCACGGCCACGGGCGCTGCGAGAACGGGCTGTGCGTGTGCCACGAGGGCTTCGTGGGCGACGACTGCGGCGAGAGGAGGTGCCCCAACGACTGCCACCACCGCGGGCGCTGCGTGGAGGGGCAGTGCCAGTGCCACGAGGGGTTCCTGGGCGAGGACTGCGCCGAGCTGCGCTGCCCCAGCGACTGCCACGGCCGCGGGCGCTGCGTGGGCGGGCAGTGCGTGTGCGACCAGGGCTTCATCGGCGAGGACTGCGGGGAGCTGCGCTGCCCCCAGGACTGCAGCAGCCGCGGGCTCTGCGTGAACGGGCAGTGCCAGTGCCACGAGGGCTTCACCGGGGACGACTGCGGGCAGCTGCGGTGCCCCAGCGACTGCCACGGCCGCGGGCTGTGCGTGAACGGGCAGTGCGTGTGCGACGAGGGCTTCACCGGCGAGGACTGCGGGGAGCTGCGCTGCCCCCAGGACTGCCACCACCGCGGGCGCTGCGTGGAGGGGCGCTGCGAGTGCGACAACGGCTTCACCGGGGAGGACTGCGGCGAGCTGGCCTGTCCCAACGACTGCCACCAGCGTGGGCTCTGCGTGGACGGGCGCTGCGTGTGCCAGGAGGGCTTCGTGGGCGAGGACTGCAGGGAGCGGGCCTGTCCCAGCGACTGCAGCAACGCCGGGCGCTGCGTGGATGGGCAGTGTGTCTGCGAGGACGGGTACATGGGCGAGGACTGCGCTGGTGGTAGGTGGCCATGTCCCTTCAAAACACTCCCTGTGTCCACCCAGCTGCTTTGGAGGTTCTGTGAATCTTCTTTATGAAGCTGAGCCCTGTTGGGAAGAAGTTCTTTGCAGAGAGAGGGCTCAGCCATTGGAATGGGCTGCCCAGGGAGGGGGTGGAGTCCCCGTGCCTGGAGGGGTTTGAGCAGAGCCTGGATGTGGCATCAGTGCCATATGCGGGGTGACAAGGGGGGGTTGGGTCACAGGTTGGACTTGATGATCTCAGAGTTTTTTCCAACCCAGTTGATTCTATGACTCTACTCCCATCACAGAATCACTGGAGCTGGAACCAGCCCTGGCTGGGATTTGTCACCATGACCTTTCAGTTTCTCACAGTACCTCTTGATGCTAAAAAATAAGGGCATCTGAAAGAAACTGTTCTAACTATGGAGAAGAGGGAGATGTTTCCAGTCTTCTTACTACACATACGTGTGTGTATTATGTATATACATATATATAATACATATATATTTGTTTATACCTATATTTATTTATACATATATTTCTATATATATTTATTTATACCTGTGTTTGTTTTATACCTGTATTTATACATACATATTTATTTGTATACATATAAAATTTATTATTTTTTTATATGGAGGTTTTATACACATATTTATATATTTGTATGGAGGTGTGTATATTCAATCTGACAGAAGCTTAGAGGAAAATTATGGAATCAGCTCTAAAGTCCCACGCTGAGTTTCCCACTACCACTTACACTATGGAACTTGATAGAGAATTTTGGCAGCCAGATAATGACAGGCTTTACACCATAAATGAGGTAATTTTCTTTAGTAGATCTCAGGGGAGAAATTTCAAAACTAAATTTTTGTAGGGTAATCAAAGAAAGCTTTGGGGTTGGGAACACTATAAAAGACAATGAACACCCTTAAAAAGAAATTCCCGTCTTTCATCTCCTCTTTCTGGAAGAGGCCTAAGCCCCATTTTGTGCTCTTGCACACAGAGATCTTTTGGCAGTATTTACTAAAATAATAATGTTTGATTTTCCTCTGGAAAATCTGTGCAAATCCCAGGACTTGTAGCTCTACAATCACGTGTTGCTGGCAGTTGAATGAACCATCTGAGCCCCTGGGGACCCAGCTGTAGCAGTCTTGTGCTGCAGCCACGAGAGGAGGAGCTGGAACACAGTCAGCCAGAGGTTGTGTGCAAGTGTGAGGGTAGAAATTGGCCCTGTGACTTTTGGAAATGTCTGTGGTCTCCATCAGCTCAACATTCCTCTCCTCAGCAGTTAATTTGTGGGCCGTGGCTTCCCCAGCCCCTGTTAGACAATTCTCATGAAATCCCTGGGAAAATGTGAGAACTGGGTAAGTCATTATTTTCTCAGCCATGAAAACTTCTTATAACTTTATTTTTTTCCTCCCCCATTCCCAGTGTCTCCTCCAACTGAGCTGACGGTGACGAACGTGACGGATAAAACTGTCAACCTGGAATGGAAACATGAGAATCCTGTCAATCAGTACCTGGTCACCTACGTCCCCACCAGCAGTGGGGGGTTGGACATGCAGTTCACTGTGCCAGGAAACCAGACAGCTGCCACCATCCACGAGCTGGAGCCGGGCGTGGAATATTTTATCCGTGTCTTTGCCATCCTTAAAAACAAGAAGAGCATCCCAGTCAGTGCCAGGGTAGCCACATGTGAGTTTAATATTCCCTGGATTCCATTCTTTTGTCTATTTCATAGCATGTGTTGATTTGCATCCCTTATTTTGGGGTGTTATGTATTTCGTGTTTTCTATTTTCAGATCATTTGTATTGATTCACATCCATTTTTTGGGACATTGTTTATTTTTTATTTTCTTTTTTCAATTCATTCATATTGATTTACCTCCCTTTTTGGGGACTTTATTTCTTTTTAATTTCTGTTTTCAATTCATTTGTATTGATTTGCCTCCCTCTCTTGGGGATATTATTTCTTTAGTATTTTTTATTTTCAATTCATCTGTTCTGGACAGAGACAGCCTTTTGCACTTTCATTTTCTATTCTTTTCCAATGCCAATGACTGTGTTAAAAATATAGTTCACAGGCTCTTCTGCTCTCTGCTGTGCCTCCCAATTAATACCATGGGGTCTTTGTAAATGAAGAACCTTGGCTTCTTTATTATAATGTGCATTTTAAAATTCTGGTCATTATTCCTGAAAAAAAAAATGATAAAAAATATACACTGTCTAAAAACCAATATGAAATCACTTGAATTCAAAGTGGTTTGGTTAAAATGGAGGTTATATTTGTTTTGCATCTTCAGTTTTACCACAACTCACCTTTTATCTGCCCGTCTGTCCTTTTGCTGTTGATCTTCCTTTATATTTTGTGCACATCACACTCATATCTAAACATCCTCAAAAGATGCCCTCTGACTTCTGGCCCTGAGCTCGTTTTCAGAGACATGGGGCAGAATTCAGCTCACCTGCCTTCAAATGTCTGCACCAGAGACGTTCAAGAGGGCACCAAAAAGAGGTTTTTCTAGGTCAAAATTCATTTTACTCCAAGGTGACACCCAAACCAGCTCAGAGGAATGCCCTTCCAGAGGGAGGATAACTGACTGTGAGGTGGTTTAACCATCTCAGCTGCACATCCCTACATGGCAGATATTTCTAGTGGTGGAAAGATGTCCCCACCCCGCGCCCTATTTATGGGAACTTGTCGCTCATGGCAGGATCTCCTGTTTTTTTCTGCCCCAGATCTCCCTGCTCCAGAAGGTCTGAGGTTCAAATCTGTCCGAGAAACGTCCGTCCAGGTGGAGTGGGACCCTCTGAACTTTTCTTTTGATGGCTGGGAGCTGGTCTTCCGTAACATGGTGAGGAAGAGGCTTCATGTGTGGAGCCCACACAGAGTGAAAAATCCTGGTGTTTTTTACGTTACACTGACAGATTGTTCCATGTGTTGCAGAAAAAGGATGATAATGAAGACATAACCAGCAGCTTGAAAAGGCCAGAGACATCTTACATGCAGCCAGGTTTGATACCTGGGCAACAGTACAATGTGTCCATTCATGTAGTGAAGAACAACACCAGAGGGCCTGGACTGTCCAAAGTGATAACAACAAGTAAGGACAACCTGTATTTGGTCTGTGTTTTGTTGGCCAGCAACAAACAAGGGGATTTTTTGTGTTAAAACAAGCTTTTAAACAGAGAGGAGACCAAACTCTATACTGTGAATTCACAGGGGGGAAAAGGAAGTTGTGGAGCTGCTAATGAAAAATTAATTCATGAGGGAAATTTAATTCCTTTCCAAATTACCTGCAGAGGAAAGGAAATTTGTGTTCAGCCACAAGCCAGCAGGCAGAATGCACTTTAGCTCTTTTTCAAAATATACAACAACAGGAATACAATTTTTTCTGTCCTAGTGATGTTTGTATGGAGATAGAGAAGCTCTCAGGGTTCCTGCTTGTCTTTCCTTTGGTGGCTTCTGGTGTGAATGAATTCTGATGAATTTGCTTCTGATTAAATGATTCCATTTGGAGTCTAAGCCTGTTGGAGGGCAGTAAATGAAATAATAAACTTCAGTTGGTCAAAGTCACTAATATTAATTTTGCTATGAATCAACAACTAAAAGCATAAGAATGTCTGTGTTTTTATGGCAAGATTTCATTAAAAAAGCACCTTTTCCTCTCTCTTTTTTTTTTATAACAGAGCTTGATGCCCCCAGTCAGATCGAGGCAAAAGACGTCACAGACACCACAGCCCTCATCACATGGTCCAAACCCTTGGCTGAAGTAGAAGACATAGAGCTCACCTACGGCCCCAAGGACATTCCAGGGGACAGGACAACCATTAACCTCTCTGAAGATGAAAACCAATATTCCATTGGAAACCTGAGGCCACACACAGAGTATGAAGTGACACTTGTCTCTCGTCGAGGGGACATGGAAAGTGATCCTGTGAAAGAGGTGTTTGTCACAGGTGAGAGGCTGGAGACCAACATGGAATCAGCACTTTTGTAGAGGTCCATGAAAGTGGAGAATGTTTTTTCTGTGCCTCATATGCTTTCCTGGCCCAAGAAAATATTTAGAATCTAAATATATTTTGCAAATGGGATTTAGGTTATTGTGTCTTGTACCCATAAACTCTCAGAAACAAGTTCCTCTGGATTATTTTTCTGCCTGCTGAGCTAAAGGTCTTCCATGGCTTCTGTTCCATCTAAGGCCTTGTTTCTTGTCTAAATATGCATCAGATTAGCAAAGAACTGCTTTCTTTCCTCCTTCAGTTCTGCAAATGTTTCCTGTCATGCTTTTATAAATTGCCTTTATTCCTCAGTGCTCCTGGGAATGGTTCTTGTGAAAGTGTGGGTCCTGTAGCAGGTTATCAAGGTTTGATGCATTAGGGGAGCTGAGAAAATGGTACCCAGAGAATTACCTCTCTTTTCATCCTAAAATAAAGTTGTTCCTTCAGAGCAGGATTTGAGATATGAACAATGTAAAGCCCATTGAATTTCTACTTAATATTCACCTTTTGTTTTGAGACTCAGAGTTCCTTTCAGCTGCAAATGCAAGATATTTACTGAGCAGAAATTCTAAAGATGATCAGTTCTTTGTTCTTAGCATCATTTTTCCTTCTGAAAGCTGAGGCATTTATAAAGGAAAATAGTGTTTTCATCCAAATATATTTTTCCACAAGCCTATTTTGTAATAAAAAAATATTTATTACTATAGGAAATGTTATTTTTGTCTCAGGAGATAAAAGTTTAATTTCTTAGAGTGATGTTTTCTCAAAGCTGGTGAACTCTCCGTTTTATGCTAAAAGAAATCTGCTTGGTGTAGTTATGTGGTATCAGGTGAAGAGAAACCACTTCAGTGTTGTGGGTCATTTTACCTTTTAAAAAGAGACTGTTGTCATAAGAGAAATATTCCTATTTCTTTATTTATTGTTTGATGGATTACAGACTTGGATGCTCCCAGAAACCTGAAGCCAGTGTCCCAGACAGACAACAGCATAACCCTGGAGTGGAGGAACAGCCACGCCAACGTTGACAACTACAGAATCAAGTTTGCCCCCATCTCTGGTGGGGACCACGTGGAGATCACAGTGCCAAAGGGCAACCAAGCCACAACCAGAGCTACACTCACAGGTGGGCCACACATTTTAGATTAGATATACTGAAGGAATTGTTCCCTGTGAGGGTGGGCAGGCCCTGGCACAGGTTGCCCTGAGAAGCTGTGGCTGCCCCATCCCTGGAAGTGTCCAAGGCCAGGTTCGAGCAACGTGGGCTAGTGGAAGGTGTCTGGGGGTGGAATGAGATGATCTTCAAGGTCCCTTCCAACCCAAACCATTCTGTGATGCTATGATTTTTAAGTGCACCCAATTAAACTAAAATCCCTGGGATCTGTCTGCACACACCTGCAGGTGGATAAGCAGCCAGCAGAAGGTATTGTAGCCATTTCACTTCCACGTGCATCTCTCAATCCCCTCAGGCAATTCCCTGAGTTCTGGGCAGCTCCACATCTCTGTGGAGGAGGCTTCACACCCTGAGTTCCAAAGGTGTTGCATGTGCCAGGGATGGTATTTACTGGTCTTGCCAGTCTGCAAATTCTCTGTGTGCCTGCAAGTTACTTTTCCAGCCTGCAGGGCCAGGTCATGGTTCTTCCATATCGTGTGGGTGCCAACTTGCTTTTCTTTGTCAGAAATACTCACACTGCAACCTCTGGAATGTAGATGCTATCTCTGATTATGCATTTGCAGTGTCCAAAATGCAACCTCAGTCAGCCATAATCTTAATCCTTTGGTATGTAAGCGGAATAGAGATTTATTAACATCAGGTCAGGGTTATCTGAAACCTCGATTCCCTGCATAGTGAGGAAAGCATCTGTCTCACTTTGCACACATTCAGCCTTCCTTGTTAAAACAAATGCCTGAAGGTGTATTCTATGCACAGGAACTCATATTCCTTTTCCTCATCTCTTAGGTTTGAGGCCTGGAACTGAATATGGCATTGGAGTGACAGCAGTGAGGAACAACAGGGAGAGTGCCCCTGCTACCATCAACGCTGGCACTGGTGAGTACCTGACCCACCTGACCCCCCTTTCTGCTCTGGAAGAAGCAACAAAAGAGGTAGAGCCACTCTTTAATTTCCAAATGATGCAGTAAAAACTGTTTTAGAAAGTTCTTAATTTCTGTTTGCTTCCAATGGGACATTTTCCCTCAAGGGAAAAATCTTTCCCCCAAAGATTTGACCTCTGAATGTGGTTTCTTTTTCCTGTCTGAGGATTTCTCAGTGTTCTGGGAGTTTCATCTCCAGGTGAGCTCCTCAGTGGTAATTGTGCTTACACTGATTTGGCCATCCTGTAGTTGTGAGGGTTTCTGGCAGGCAGTGATGGCCAAAATGTTGATCTGACAACAAGTGCAGCCTTGGTGGTTGCAAGTCCTGGCTGACCTTCAAATCCAGAATTTTTCTCACAACACCCCCTTTTTCCCAGGTAAGTTCTGTGAAGGCTTTAATTCTGCCTCTCCTCCATGTGAAGTGTCAGTGGGGGAAATCTGTTCTAGTGTGGTTTGTTTGTAAGAGAGAACTTCATCATCCTCTACCCACATGGGCTTCAAAACCCCCAACAGGTGGAGAAGTGAGCTGTGGCCAGACACCCAGTGGAGATGTTACTCTGTCTATACCTGTGCCAGGGCAGTTCAGAGACATCTCAACTGTGCTTTTCTTAACCCATAGATCTTGATAACCCCAAGGACTTGGAAGTCAGTGACCCCACTGAAAGCACCCTGTCCCTTCGCTGGAGGAGACCCGTGGCCAAGTTCGATCGCTACCGCCTCGTTCACACCAGTCCCTCTGGGAAGAGGAGCGAAGTGGAGATCCCAGTGGACAGCACCTCCTTCATCCTGAGGGGGCTGGATGCAGGCACAGAGTACACCATCAGCCTGGTGGCAGAGAAGGGCAGGCACAAAAGCAAACCCACAACTGTCAAGGGTTCCACTGGTGAGTAACAGCTTTTGGGTGGGGGCTGTGCACATGGCACTGGGAAAGGACCAGCCCAAGGACAACCTCACCTCATTTTCTAAGCCATGTCTGGGGCTTAGAATATCTGTCTCTGCCTGCAGAGCAGACTTAGCCCTGCCTAACACGACACACTGAGGGATAACTGTGCTACTGTGTTTAGCTTCATGTTCTCAATGATTTCTTGCTTATTTTTTGAGAGGCTTCACAAAGAGCAGCCACCAGTCCTGCATGAAATGCAGAGCTCATACTTTGTTTTACATGAGGTTGGGTTTGTTTTGTTGGTTTTTTTCGTGTGCATTATAACTTGTTTTGTTCTCTACAGCTAAAATCTGAGAGGAAGAGCAACCAGAATGTGTTTGACATTGCTTGTTCCTGCCTAATGAATTCTCTTCACAGCATCCCTCCACCTATCATGCTTCAGCAGGGTCAGCAGGGCTCTGATGTTGCCCTTTTTCAGTTTTCTCATCCAAAAATAGGAAAGGTGACTGCCCCAAATCTGGTTCCAGCCACCATTTCCACTGGATACTGTGACTTGTATTTCTCTTCAAAAAAAGGTCCATTTCTACCACCTCTATTTGTCCAAACCACTCCAACTGACCAGTATCAGTGGACTCCCTGAACCAGGTTTTACTCCTTGTGAAACATTTTGACCCCAAGTTTGTTGCACACAGAGTTACATCTTGGTGCAGAACACAAATAAATCCTGAATCTTTTCATGCCTTCAGGTTAAATCCCATGAGGCAAAGCTTGAACAGAGACAGTGAAACCAGAATCAGCTGGGGTACAATTGTCTTTAGCAGATATCAAGGTGTTTATCCTTTTCTCCCCACAGACCATCTATGAGCTAAACACATGCCAGGCATTGTGGATTTTACAAATTAATACCTATACTATATATAATTACTATTAGTTTAATAAATACTATATATATAAATATAATAACTATTTGAACTGGTCAAAACTGGGCTCATATTCCCTGGTAATTCATGCCAGCAGCACCTCTAATGCTTTACAGAGACAATAACCCAGGACAGCAGAGGGTTATATGGAGTGGTGCAAACTACAGGAATCCATCAGCACTGAATTAGTTGTTTGATGCCTAAGGCAGGCAGGGAAATGCAGCCCAAGGCAGGGAAAAATTGGGAAGTCTTGAGGCACAACATACAAAAGGATCTGAAGGTTTATGTGGCAGGAGTGAGCAGGTTGCAGTTTTCCCAAAGTTCTCTGTTTCCCTGTCTGTCTGAAGACTGAGAGGGCTCAAAAGAATTCTTCATAGGTGATGAAAAGGCAGAAACAACCTGCTGTGGAATTTCACAGTCTGGTCTTTCCACCAGCAGCTTCCAAAGCTTCACAAGGTGGCTGCTTTTTTTTTTTTTTCCCTTTTTCTTTAGAAATACCTTCATCTGGCCAGTGTATTTGTTTTATGTCTTTGCTCAGAGCAGCCAGTAAACACAGAGCTCTCTGCACTGACATAACCTGTCCGTGTGACCTCCCTCCTACGCAGGAATGGACAAATGCAAACATGAGCACGGGGAGCAGAAGTGCTCTGGAAGCCTGGGCAGCACCACACAAGTGGGCTTTTCAGTTTGCTTTTTCCATCTTCCTTCAAGTCACTCCTCTTTATCCAGTGCTTGGGAGGTCCTGGAGCCCTCAGGCTGAGCAAACAAAACAAACTTGTTTCCCTTGCAGAGCTCTGGGGGACCTCAGATCCATTGCAGTGCTGGGGAAAGTCCTTGGAGCAACCACGGAGGGGGAGAGAGAGGGATGATTGAAGTGGGAAATGCCAGCAGCACAGCTAGGGCTGGATTGGCTCTTCCCAGTGGGTGGAGGAGACAGTCCTGCTGTTTGGAGGGTCTGTGCCATCCCTGCTGAACGAGGGAGCCAGCAGCTGCAAAGGGCTGAGCTTTTCTTTTCAGCTTCCTTTGCTCCTGCAGATTGACAGGTTTTCACCTCATATTCTTCCCCTCCTCTGGATGGTTCACTCAGGCTTTCCTGCCAACCAGCTATTCAGGAGTTTCCCACACCTTATTTTTATTTCCTTGCACTGTGGATTTTATAGCATTTTAAAGCTTCTTTCAGCTCCAGAGCTGAAGGTCTTCTCTTGGAGACTTCCCTCTCCTCTCCCATTCTCCCTGTTATCTCCTTGTGCACATCAGCTCTCCACTCACAGGCAGCTGAAACTCATGAACCTCTAGCAAAGGATATGTCACAAAATCTTCTACAGTGTAGGATGGCAGATGTTTGTTACTTCTGTCCCTTCATGGGGATGCAGTGCAGCTCAAGTGACAAATACCTTTCTTAACTGAGATCCATGATTCTGCATTCGAGGGAGGGCAAAATGTCATTTTATTTTGTTGAAAAGGAAAGACTAAACCTTTCACCCTGCCACTTGCTTGTGTGTCTCCTGTAGCTCTATACAGAGAACACAGCTTTAGAGCCTCGTGGTGTGTGAATACAGGAGTCTGCAGTGGTTTTGGGGTGAAGGTTTGGAGCTGAGCCCACTGCAAAAAATCCCTGGCCTCCAAGCTAACAATTCCTAAAAAATCCAGGTGTATGGGTTGGCTGGAGAACAGAACTCTTCTTTGGAGCTGTGGCTGCAACAGGTACCTCCTTTCTGTTATTAATGAAGATATCACAAAGGCCCCACCCAGCACTAAGATCTGACTCAGAAATCAGCTTTTTTACTCGCTGGGGGGACCTTTGTGGCAGCACATCTTGAGAATGTCCCATCAGATTTCCAGCTAATCTGCAGGGTGAGCACGTCACCCAGCTCTGAGGAAGCCGAGCAGCCAGACTGCAGCTTTGTTCTCCCCTGCTCTGGTTCTGGAGCTCTGCCTGCAGAGCACAATGTGGGTCCTGGAGCAGGGTGGATGGTAATCCATCAGGCATGAGAGGCCTGGGGGAGACAAATGAGTGAACACTAGAGAAACCAAGAGCCAAGCTCGAATTCCTCTGCTGAGGGACCCAGATTGTGCAGGCAACTCTTGATGGATCGTGGATGTGATGTTGCCTTGCCTCTGGAAGTGAGTTTGCACATCCGAGCACGGCTTGGAGAAGCGGCTTTTCCATTCTGCTGAATGTTTGCAGGAAGATTTATGCTGTTTACCACAGGCCCTTGTCTGTGTTGTGCGTCAGTCCCTCTTCCTCTCCTGGCTTCTCTCTGCTCTTAGATTGCACCACTCTCTTTTATACAAACTCAGAGAGACATTAGCAAGAGTGATTAGGTGAAGCAGCTCCATGGGAAACTGCAGTGCTGACCACTGGGAAACTCAATCTGCCAGGAAGGATGATCCATTTACTCAGCTGAGAGTACCTGGGTCCTGATTCCCACATGAGGATTTTAGTGGTAGCTACTGTAGTATTTCTGGTTTCTGATGCTGCAGTGGTCTATTTATGAAATTCAGAGGTGCACAGGCACTGTAAGCCCAGGTTAATTAGTTGAGAGAGGGAAAAGTGGTTTAACAAAGGGGTCTGAAAAGAATGCAAATACCATCATGTGTCACCTGTGTGGTGGTGTGGTGAAAACATGTTTGCCTCCAGGTTGCAGCCTGGTTCCAGTCATGACTGGGGTGATTTAAGGACAGTCCTTACCTAATTCAAGAATATCAATGATACATATGAACATAAATCCCTGTTTGCCTCACAGGCTTCTCTCCTTACTGAGGGTGAGCAGAAAACAATGTTTTTACATCTGTGCTTGCCCTGAGAGTATATTTTCAACATAACATTTCTCCTTTTATTTGAAAACATTGCTAATTGAAAATATATTTCTTTCCGATAAATGTGTGAATTTGGAGACAGATAATGAATCCTGAGTACATATTTGTGCTGAGCTGATTGATGGTGCTGGATGACTTGCTCTGTCTTAATGGAATGCAAGTGGAGCATGAAAGCAAGGAAATCACTGAGGTGTGAAATATGTGGGCTTCCACTAATGAGGAGATAATTCTGCATGTCAAAGAAATCACCTGCCTGTTGCCTTGGGGCTGTGATCACAAACACATTCTCTGTAATTCCACACTCCTCAGATTTTCAGACTCTGACTGTGCTACAGGATAAGTCAGAGATCATTCAGCATGCTGAAGGCCAAGGCTTTTCCATTTCCATTCCTTGGGATCTCTCTAAAGAAATCTCTCTTTTGGCCCTAGTGTTTAACTAAGGATGTGTGACCCCCTCCTCTTTTTTTCCTGCATGTATTAAAACCAATGCCTGGTTTTAATTGGATAGGATGAGCTTTAGCATGGTTCTGCTGTGGCTGATTCCTGGCTTTGGGCGTGTTTGTGATATTTGGCATGAATTCACTCGTGGTTTGTGTCAGGAGCAGTAACTGATGGGCTGCAGTAAAGTCAGAAGGAGTGTTTGAGGCTCAGGGTTCAAATCCTCCCCGATGTAAATTAGCAAAGCTCTTTGGAGGTCATCAAAGAGAACTGATTTACATCAACAGAGGATGTGCCCCTTCTCTGCTGGGAGTGTTTGAGCTCAGCTCTGTGTTCACTGGTTGTTGCTCTGGGCCTGCTGGTTGTTGTGGCTCTGGGAGAACCCTGGTGTGTTTGGTGATGCTGCCCCTGCTCGTGGCCTGGATTCAGTCTCCAAAAAAGGAGAACCCACCTGTTTTCTCTGCTCTTGGAGCTCCTTAATGCAAAGCACCCAAACTGTGCTGAAGCAGATGTAGTTTGGTTTATCTGGGAGTTTATCATCAGGAAATTTCAGCTTGTAATTTACCTGTTTAGCACTTCTAGTCACAACACCTGGAGAATCAATCAATGAACCCTTATTTAATCCTCACAGCCCTGCACCTGGAGGGTTCAGTTATTTAACAACCCTCAGTCCTGATTATCCTGTTCTGCTTTTGGTGCCCCTTGACCTGCCCAGCTCAGAAGCCACTGAATTCTTCATTATCTCAATATAACCCATATGGCTTTCAGCAGCTTCCCCCTGTCCTGGGCAGTCCAGGGTGTGAGGTATTTGGTCAGTTCTTTGTCACTCTAAAAGACCTGACCAGTTTGAACAGAATACAGGAATATTTTTGCTGGGAAATCATCGAGAAGCAGAAATCCCCCATCTCCCAGCTGGCACAAATTCCAGATTAACCTCCATGGAAGCACTCAAGGCCAGCTCTCTTGGTCCCTGGAAGCCATGGCTACTACAGGTATTTTCCATGGATTCATTAGCCATGTTCCTTTGCTGCTTTAATATTCAGACCTTCATTTCCACGTGGCTGTTCCACTGCAGAGATTTTGGGCTTTGTGAGTGATGCATCTCCCCTTAGTTGGTTTGTTCTTCCTTTTGCATGGGATAAATCTCGTATTGTTATGCAAAGAGAGCTTTGAGTGGTGCAGAAAATGCCACATTCAGCTTTTAAGGTGATGTAGCATCAAATCTCTCTTTGAATTGCATGTAGAGAGAGATTTTGATGCATTTGCTCTTGGCAAGGCATGTGAGAATAGCAAGGTGCTGCAGGTGTTTGTCTGGGATGTGGTTCAAGTGCAAGAAAGATTACAAGAAGTTTGCAGCATTGGCATGGAAGTGGTGATGTCAGAGAAAAAAAAAAAAGATTGAAACACATTGGGAGTCACCTTTCTGAAAAATTTTTTGCCACCTCTTGCCCCACTATATGAATTTCAGTGAGGAATTAAGCCTACAGACACAGGGTTGGGTTCAATAATAATCAAAGTATCAGTGTGTAAGTTCAGATCTGGAGACTCATGACTGCATTTGTCCATCTCTCAGTCCCAATCTGCCAACAGGAGGTAAAATATTTACATGGAAACACACAGATTATTTCCCACCAACTACAAGGCCACAACAGCCTCATCTCTCAATGGTTTGCTCTCTCTCTTTTTTTTTAAATAAGAAACGTCATCCCTTGATATTTCTTGTGACACTGGTTGTTTTGTCATCTCTGCTGGGTGCTGTAATTAATGAAGCTTTGGGAGGTCTCTAATTTGCTGCATGATTTCATGTGAGAACCTCTTGGTCCCTGGAGAGCATGAGGGGGTTGTGGTGCTTCAGTCTCAGACGTGCATGAGGAACGAATGGGAGGAAAAGGAAGTCTGCATCTTGGAGGAGAATGAGCATTCTTCAGAGAGATCTGAATTGTTTTAACCTGTGCTGATCACTGCATTACTCACTATAATCAACATCAAGATTTAACCTTACTGTAACTTCTGGTTTTGTTTTCATTTTAAGGAAATGTGTTTGTTTTATTTGCTTCTGTTGCCACCAACAGCTCATTATTTCTGATACAACCAGTTCCTTTTTTTTGTCCTGCTTTCTCTTTTCCAGATAACAGTGATATTTTGACAGGATTCATATTTTACCTCAGTGAATCTCCTTTCTGTTCCTGATAAAGCCTGACAGCTCTGGATTAATGCATTTTTCTTTGTTATTGAACATTGTTGTTATTTCATAAACAGTCTCTTTCCTTCCAGCAGGATGGGAAAAAGCTCATATAAAATTCTTATGTTCCTGAGTCGCAGCAATTTACTGATTTATTAATGAATCTCACTGAATATAATTGTGATACATGACTGCTCAACCTCTGAAAATCCAACCCCAGCTGCCTCTGAGCAGTCAAACAATAATCACTTTGTTTTTACAAGGAGAAAGTTTAGCTGAGTGATGCTGCTGAGCCTAATTTTCATTTATTCCAGAGCTCGTTTAACTCCTGTCATAAAACATGCATAAAGTTGAAGATGAAGTTTACAACTGGCAAATCAGATTCTCTCCCCTTCATGCAGCACCTCTTGAAATTCTTAGTTATGCAAAAGGGGATTATTGAGAGAGACTCTGTTCTTATGACAGTGGTTGAGTCAACAATGCAAATAAATAAGAAATGTGCTGGAAAGTCATTGTAACCCTCAGGTCAATGACAGCTCAGGCAGAAAAAAGCAGGTATTACTCTGTCACTTCCCCATATCACTGCTGATGTTACAGGAATCAGTTGTATTTCCTTTGGAACAAAGGACTTTCTATTCTTGCTGAGAAAATGACCTCAACTTTCAGATTTAACAGCATCAGAGTCAACCCTGATGGTTCCCAACTTCCTTGGCCACTCCTGTGCGTGGCTTCTGGGAATGTTCATTGCTGTGAATGCACATTTCAATTTTAGATCAATAGCAGTGACTCTGAAAATCCAAACTCCTGTGCTTGCAGGAGGGTTTTGTGCACAGAATAATGTGATATAAGGAAGACAAATCCATTCAAAGACATGCAAACATGGAGGCATTTTCCTCCTCTTTACTGTTTTGTATTAGAAATAGTTTGGAAGCATAAAGAGCATCATTCATGTGGACACAATTAAAAGCATAAACATCTGAATCCCAACTGCTCTAAACTCAGTGTCTTCCTACCCTGACAACACAGTTACTTCAGAATGGCAAACACTGAGCTGTTAGTAGTGTAGTAGAGTGGTTATAGTCATACTTGCTTGTCTCATAGGGAGGTGTAATTAATGTTGGCATAACATTGGCAGGTGTGAGATGGTCTATAAACTGCTTTCTGTGAGCAGTCTCTTAGTATTAATGTGGATAATATTTATCATTACAGTTCTTCTCTTATTTTTCTGTTTTGCCACGTCTCTAGAGAGACTTTACTTGTAGTTTTCTCCAGAGAGACTTCACTCACAGTGATCTGGGGCAGCTGAGAATGTGAATGTGTGTGGGGGCATCTCTGTGAAATCCAATAACACCCAACATCATCAAACAGTACGACATCACCCCTGCCCTGTAACCTGAGTAACAGATTGACTCTCTGTCCTTATTCAGAGGAGGAACCTGAGCTTGGAAAGCTGTCAGTCTCAAAGGCTGGCTGGGATGGTTTCCAGCTCACCTGGACAGCCGACGGCGGGCCCTATGAGAGCTTTGTGATTGAGGTGCAGGAGTCTGGGAACCCCGAGGAGAGCCGGAATGTCACAGTCCCGGGGGGACTGCGCTCTGGGAATGTCACAGGCCTCAGGGCCAGCACACCCTATAACATCACACTCCACGGGGTGATCAGAGGCCACAGGACCACCCCCCTTTCTGTTGAGACCACCACAGGTATCTCTTCGAGTCGCTGCTCCAGTCCCACGTTCCTCCCAGACAGGGATGTGAGCCAGAGCTGTTCCAGCTGCTGGCTGGCTTTGCATGGGGGGCACTGAGCTCCCTAAGGCTTGGCTGAACATCTCTGGCGTGGAAATGTCTCAAGGTCAGACTTTCCAGCAAGAGCCTCAGTGCCCTCATGCAGCCCTTCCCCTGTAGGAATGCTTTCCCCCTTCCCAGCTCAGAATGGCTTGTTTTGTTCCCTTTACTCACTTACCTGCTGGTTGGCACTAACACCAAACCCAGCTGGCTGTTGTACATGCTTGGGAAAGCCCAGGTTGCTTGGTAAAATTAGAAAAAACCCTTTCTCTATAGCCCAGATTATCAAAGCCAGGGAGCATGTTTAGTTTTCACCCTGCAGAAGCTTCCTCTGAAATTATGCAGTAGCTTCTGTGTAAATTGAAACTCAGGGGGTGTAGTGTGTGTGTCTGCCTCAAGGGCAAGGACAAACATCTTCTATGTGCTCTCATAAAGGACACAAATTAATTCTTACCAAGAGTGGTATCATATATTGAGTCATCTAAGGTCATTAAACAGTCTGATTGGGCTGAAAAGAATCTCATGCAAGAAGATCAAATTCAGAACTCCCCTGCTATAGAACTGACCTGAAAGAAGGAAGGTCAACATTTTGTTATCAGAAGGTTGCCTGAAGCTCACCAAGAGCCACAAAAATAATTTCCTGTCTGTTCCTGAGAAAGGCAGCAGTTCTAAATGAGAGCTTTGACTGTGAGAGGTAAATATCTACTTCCATTTATCCTCGTGGCTCACTGATCCTTCCTGGTGTTCTGATCATGGGTAATGAACAGAGTATGAATTAATTGGCACTAAAGGATCACCAGTGGCTCTTCCTTCAGATAATTTCTTGTAGACAACATCTGCTGCCTCTGGGCCTCCTTACAGACCTTGGCAACCTCCTGTCACTGTGAGATAGCCAGAGCTGGCTCATGCTTGATTTCCCCAAGCACATATTACCCAGCCCAGAAGGGGATGAAAGTCCATGTAAGAACTAATCAGAATTAAAACATGAGATGCAGCAGAGCTTGATGGTTCCAACAGTGCTTTAGGCAGAAATGTGTCTGGCACCAAGCTCTTGCCTTGGGCTGTGTCCCACTAGCAGTGTTGTGCTTTGAGGGTCCTGAGTGGGAGCTGGTGGCAGATTCCCATGGAAAACAGACCAATGTGGCTGGAAAAACAAGGGAACAGACATCAGAGGTGTCCTGCTTAAATCTGCAGTGTGATCTTGTTCTATTAAACCAGTGAAAACAGCAGAAGATGCCCTGCTGAGGTTTTCCTTTCCCTTTCTGGGTCATGCTCAGTACCAGGCTTTTCAGAGTTTTCCTTTCTAGGGGCTTCCAATTGTCAGAATTTTCTGACCCTTCCTGTAGCTCTACAGGGGTGTCCACAGAGAGGAAGGAACCCCAAGGCAGCTGTTTGGCATTTTATCCCTGTTTTGCATTTTGGCTCCAGCTCCAAAATTACAAACCAGCTTAACCTGAAAGGGGAAGTAGAAGAGCAAACAAAACCCAGGATTTTCCTTTGGATAAAGCAATACCTCCAGTTTTAGCTTCTCCTAAAACTGGGAGGTGACTTTTCCAAATGGATTCAGAGAAGGTTTTTTTTTGCATCCGCTTTCATGCTCAGACTTTAAAGATGTATGGCTGCTCCTGCAGATAAGGGGAGCAGCCATGACTTTAAAGCTTTATTTTCCTTTTTAGTCTTATTTAACAGTTTGTGCTGCTTTCATTTGATTTCTTCCCCCCCCTCCCTTAGTCTGCTTGTAGCAAGCTTTTACTCACACATCCTGTTGTCCAGCTTGGAGTGCTGCCAGCATGGGCAGGGAGGAGCATTTGTGAGCAGCAGGAGGAGGTGCAGGGCTGTCCCTTCTGACCAGTGTTGTTTCCCTCCTCAGGAGAGCACCCCGAAGTCGGTGAGCTCACGGTTTCCGACATTACTCCCGAAAGCTTCAACCTTTCCTGGACAACCAACGGGGCCTTCGACGCCTTTACTATTGAAATTATTGATTCTAACAGGTTGCTGGAGCCCATGGAGTTCAACCTCTCAGGCAATTCAAGGACTGCTCATATCTCAGGGCTTTCTCCCAGCACTGATTTCATTGTCTACCTCTCTGGGATCTCTCGAGGTTTCCGCACACAGGCAATAAGTGCTGCAGCTACAACAGGTACATGAACCTCCCTCGCTGCTAACTCTCGTTTTTTTCTAACTCTTCCTTACAGGTTGTGCCCCTTTTCCCTGCCCTCAGCTACCCCATCAGTCCACTGCCAAACCCTCTACCTCATTGCTTGACACCTCCTAAGGAAGATCAACCTGGGACCTTTTGAAAACTGTGGCTGTTAATCCACCCAAAATCCATCCAGCAAAGTCAGTCAGTCACGCTGTGCTGTGATTTCGGTCACACAATAAGGTTGTTCAAACATTAAGGCTGGGGCAACCTCTGAGGCAGATGAGAAGCAACATGCACTTCCCAGGAACCAAGAGGGAGGTGATTCATTATATTCACCCTTCCACACATGTTTGCATCTGTCACACAGCCCAGAGCAGACACTATTTTTCTCAGATAAGCTGATTTCTACACACAGCTTTTATCCTGATTCTCTAAGTACATGTCAGGCACGTTTCAGTCTGTGCCAGCAGAGTCCTGCAAGGCACATTCACTGCTTGAATTCAACGTCAGCGTTCAGTTTACATTGGATGGGAGATTGAAAAAGTCCATTTGACTTGATGTCAGCGACTGAAATGGGCAGGCATTTAGTTGTTGGCACACTGCACAGCTCAAGGTTTTACAGCTGACAGTTTTTCCAGAGAAGACAGGGAAGTCACACGTTCAGTGTGCTTTAGCCAAGGACAGTATGAGAGACTGGACTGCAGGAACATTCTCACTGTAGGCAGATAAGAGCTCACACTGGGATCATTTAATGTCTGTGCCAAATCTTTGCCTGCTGAACCGATCTTAGGAAAAGTTGCCATAGCAATTTGTCATAGCAATAGATTAATGTGGTTGATGAAAGCAGAATATCACATCTCAGCTATCAGGTAATGCAGTTTGAGTTTCCAGCGTCAGCAGACTGTGAACATCCTCACTGAGTGATGGGTGGCATGTTCAGGGTGACTGCAGGGGTGATGATATGAAAAACATAGAGAAACACGAGGCTAGATGACCTTTGTGACCCGTGGTCATGGGAATTCAAGCTTCTATATGGATTTATTTTGTTGCTTTGGCTTTTAATAATTGCGATACATTTCCATTTGTTTTTCTTCCCGTAGTAGAGGAACCTCTCCTTAGCAAACTCACTGTATCAAATGCTACCTCAGACAGCCTGTCACTCACGTGGGAAGCACAGGACAATGCCTTTGACCATTTTATCCTAGAGGTCAGGAACTCTGACTTCCCTTTGGACTCCCTGGTGCTCACAGTGCCGGGGGCCTCCCGGCGCTATGTGGTGACCAACCTCAAAGCTGCCACTAATTACACTGTCCAGCTCCATGGTGTAATTGATGGGCAAGGTGGTCAGACCTTGACAGCACTGGCAACCACAGGTATTTCACTGTTTCACCTTCCAGGTTTGCTTTTTACTCTCCTTTCTTTCGCTGTCCACTGAACTGCTCTAAAACGTGGCTCCAACTCATCATCGTTCCTTGGGTAAATTGTAGGGAGAGCGCTCTGATATACACTGAGAATGCTCAGAAAAAGAGATCTGAGACAATGGAAGAGGCTGGAAAAGTGCCCCCAGCATTAAGAGAGTGGTAAACCATGACTGGTTTCCTTATATATACACTTCTCTGCAAGTCCTGTGTATATATAATTGACTTGCTCCAGGTGGTTGATGGTTTCCACGGAGCATCTTTGCACTTGATCCTGAATGAAGTTGTTGTTCATCCCACCCTCACTTGCCTTGCTGTGGGTGGGAGGCCTTCATGTCCTTCTCAGCCTGGAGAGGCACCTGCATGCCATTTTTGTTCTTCTTTCTTGAAACCAAATGTCTCCCAAGACATTTGCATCTCTTGTGGGAGTTTCGTGCAGCATGTGAGATGACCAACCAAAACTGCATGGAGTGGTTCTGGTTCTGAGGTTCTTCTCTGCCCAGTATTTTTGTGTGTTCCCAGAAGAGAGCCAGGCTCAAAAAGCGAGATCACCCTTTCTTGATGGTCAGCCCACCACTCTCACTTGCATTGCTACCTTTGAGTCTCTCCGACCTGTCTTGTTCCACTGGATGTCAGAGCTTTTCCCATGGTGATTCCAGGATGGCAGGAGATCACTGAGACTTGCCTGGAGAAATAACTTCAATTGACGTTGCATGTAGCACTCCCTGGAGTCAGGTTGCCATGATTGGAACGTGCCTGAGTGGATGCAAGTGGCATGTGAAGGAATGTGGCCGTGCCAGGATGAGTTTGGGAAGGTTCTGTTTGCCCTCTCTGACCTGCATGTGAGGGCTCCGTGCCTGGTTTCCATGGGTTCTCCACCCAACCCTGTTTGCTTTGTGGATATTCTCTCATCTCCTCTATCTTCAGGAGATATCTATCATCTCCTCTGACACCTTCCCTGTCAGCCATGAAGGCACTGATGGTCACTGGTTGGTAGCATGACATCTGCATGTGTCCTTAATCGGGGCCACTTGCACTCACCTGTTCCTGCAAAACTCCAGGGAAGAAAGTGGACTCTTATTTAAAAATCTTGCCATGAGGGACAGGAGGAAAAGTTGGAACATCTTGCAGCAGTTCATGTTTTAGTTAAGAAGAAGATTTCATTCTTTCCTCATTCTCTCTGTCAGTGGGATGCATCTTTCTGACTTTTCTCCCAGCATGAATCACTTAAATAGTTGTTTTTTCTGTGTCTCACTGGCTGCATTTCCCAAGGTGTTCTTGGTTTGTGCTCAATTGGCAAGAGAAAAAACAGTAACTCAGCCCAGAGAGCAGCCACAGGATTCTCTGACCATCTGACCACTGGGTCATGTTTGTGCTCTCTCTGTGCTTTAATGAATCTTTAATGATTTCATGCTTCAAAACAGAATGGGTAAGGAGCTCTCCCCCTCCTGGAGGACAAGTTCTTCCCCTGGCAGGGGAGAGATGTGATTCTGAACTTTCCTCCAGCAGCAAAGCCTTTGCTTCTTAAGGAAGTGATCACTGAAGAGTCAGAAAGGAGAGCAACAGCAGGGCTGGGGGGTTTATTGTTCAGTCTGTAAGATATTCCCTGATTGTGCCTGATCAGAGGATGAGGAACACCTTATCTGTCGAGTCCAGGGAGGTTTTGGTCTGAGATTAGTGCTGAGATAATCACTGTTAGGACTGGAATCCCTCCTAAACTTCAGGGTCCAAAAATAGATGTATCTACAACTCCAGGCAACAGAAACACTAAACAGAAGCTGAACTGGGATTTCAAGGATTCCTGCCTGAAATCTACTTTATCTGTTTTGGAATTGCTGTGGGTTTGTATTCCCATCAAATCCCCAGTGTGGAATTCCTGTAATTCGTAAGGTTTTACCACAGAGCTGTACTCTGTTGGCACTTCTGTAAATCAAGCCCACATTTCATTAGGCAAATTGGGTTTATTTAAGAAAATTGAATGAAAATGTAATTTTAAAGCCAGCACTAATTTCAGTGGCTGCCTTCCAAAACCTGACAAAGCAGCCCTTGCTTGTTTTGCCACTGCAAAACAAGGCTAAACCACGCTGAGCATCTCCAAACCTCCCGTGCTAATCCCCCCAGCCCCTCCCAGAGTAACTGCCTCTTCACCTGTGTTCCTTTCTCCCTCAGAGGCTGAGCCACAGCTGGGCACCCTCACCCTCACAAACGTTACCCCTGACAGCTTCAACCTCTCCTGGACCACCAGAGATGGGCCCTTTGCCAAGTTTGTCATTCACATTAGAGATTCCCAGGCGGCTCAGGAGCCCCAGGAGCTCACGGTGTCGGGGGGCACCCGCAGCGCCCACATCTCAGGCCTCCTAGATTACACTGCCTATGACATTAACATTAAAGGCACCACCAGGGCAGGTGTTCACACAGAGCCCCTCACTGCTTTTGTCGTGACAGGTACCTGCCTAAAGCTTTGGAGTCTATTTGTTAGCTCAAGGATGTGAATGTTCCACTACGGATAACGAGAAGGGCTCTACAGTGCTGAATATCCCGTCCAGTTTCTTTGCAAACTTGGTGCAAGGAGGGGTCAGACCAGGCATGTTGACCTTAAAAAAATCCTAGGAGCGGTACTAGGATAAAGTGAGCTTAAACGTCAGAGTGGATGGGGCTTGGAGTAACAGAACAAAATGTTTTAGGTGGGATATTAGGAAGAAAATCTTCCCTGTGAGGGTGGGGAGGCCCTGGCACAGGTTGCCCAGAGAAGCTGTGGCTGCCCCTGGATCCCTGGAAGTGTCCAAGGCCAGGTTGGATGGGGCTTGGAGTAACCTGGGCTAGTGGAAGGTGTCCCTGCCCATGGCAGGGGGTGGAACTGGGTGATCTTTAAGGTCCCTTCCAACCCAAGCCATTCTATGTTTCTGTGATTAAGACCCCTCTGGAGTCTTTCTCACATCTCTAATAACTTTTTTGAACTCCTGAGGTTTGAGGGGACAAATCTGCCTGACGCTCTGCAGTTGCATCTGAAGGATCCAGAAAGACTGGATTTTAGAAGACCTCCCATCCTTTGGTGTCCCCTCAGCACATCCCTTATGTCTGAGTATTCTTGCCCAGATTTTGACTGGGATCAGCCTCCTAAATGATTGAATAAATGCCACAGAGTTCACCTTCTATGAATCACGTGGCCAGTACGTGCTACTGGAAAAGAATCATAGAAACATAGACTGGTTTGGAAATTGGGATTGGGAGAGGAGGCTTCCCACAGTGAGGGAAACATGTGACACCCTCCTCAGCAGGAGGATGTGCCAGTGGTTCACATAAACCTGCTGGTTCAGAGTGTTGGTGTCACTCAACACCCACCCCAGAAAATAATTCCAGCAGTTTGGGCTCAGTGTTTGTTCACCCACCCTCCCAGAGACAAACCCAAACTGTGAGTCTTTGTGGATTGCTCGATTGTAAGTGATTAAGACGCAAAAATGTCTCAAAACTGAGTGAATTCAAGCTGAATCTCTGACACCCAAATCTGTAAACACTAAAACATGAGGAGTTCCAAATTATAACACTTTAGGAGGGAATTTTTATGCCTAATTCCAACAGCATCAGTTTCAGTGGTTGTGAAAGGTGAACACCAAACCCAAGCCTTTTCAGGATAAGGTTCTGTGTTTAACTAACTCATATTTTATTAAGTGAAGGGAATTTGAGTGGCTGGAAGATGGGATGAGTCAGGTCCTGAGCCAACAGAGCAGATTTGACAAACAGTGTAGAGAAACAAAAGCAATGCCTGGGCTCCAGGATCAAGGCCAGGGCTTAGCAGAGTGAGTTGATCTTCCTATTTGACTTGTCAGATTTTGAGTGAGAAAAATACACTGAGAATCTTGTGAAATTTCAGCCTTTTTTTCTCCCCCAAGTCTTGATGGATAAGATTCAAAGAGTTGATACCTTTGACAAAAGTCATGCTGATGTGAAAATTAAAAAAAACCCTCACTGGAATTTCTCTAAGTTGTCAACATGCCCCACTAGCTTTGACCCTGACTGATTAATGTCTTGCTTCTGGCACCTCTGACCCCTCCACCACTGAAAATTAAAGCTGGGGGTATTCATGTGAAAGTAGAGAGATAAAGAATCAAAAATATAGGAGTTGTGATTGCCAGAGTTGAGGCTTGTCCCTACAGCACTGATGGTGGAGACAAGTGGAAGGCAATGAAAGCTTTTGTACAGCATTTCTAAAGCAGTTCAGGTTGTAACTGTTTCCCAGTGCATGTGTAACAGGAGAAATGGGCTTGGAAGGAATTTCAATGGAGCTTGAGTTGAGGTGCTGAGACACACCCTTGATGAATATTAAAAATCAAGCATCTAAGTGGAGACTCCATTGAAAATCCTCATCCTGTGGTCCTGGCTCTGCACTTCTATTAAACCCACGCTTTGGGGGAAAATGTGGTTGTTGTTTGGTGGAACCTGTGACACTTTCTAATTCACAATATTTTTCACTTCTTTTTTTTTTTTTTTTTTTCTTTTGTGTGTGTGTATGTGTGTGTTTTTGCACCTTCCCTTCTTTCAGAGGCCATGCCCCCACTGGAAAACCTCACTGTGTCTGACATTAACCCCTACGGGTTCACAGTGTCGTGGATGGCATCGGAGAATGCCTTTGACAACTTTCTAGTGGTCGTGGTGGACTCTGGCAAGCTGCTGGACCCCCAGGAGTTCCTCCTCTCGGGAGCCCAGCGCCAACTGAAGCTTAAAGGCCTCATAACTGGCATTGGCTATGAGGTTGTGCTTTATGGTTTTGCCAAGGGGCACCAAACAAAGCCCCTGAGCGCTCTGGCTGTCACAGGTATTTTAACGTGAACAAACTGCTCCCTTCCGACCTCTCTTGCTTCCCTTCTCCCACGGGAGGTGTTTCACGCCATCCATTTGCAAAGCAAGCCTTGGCTTTTGCATCCTTCTCTGCATCGGGGCTCCACGTAACTCCTCGGGACTGGCAGGTTCACCGGGGAAATTCTGGTCCTCTTGACTTGTTTTCCTTGTGAAGGGATCCTGTAGAGGAGCATGTTGGGGCCTGAGGGGGGAAAAGTGTCTGGTCTTGCAGGTCCTTCTAACCAAAGTCTTTGAAGAAGAATGGCTGCATGTCTCGTTAACAAGAATGGGAGCTCCTCTTGTTGGCAGCTGCTGGGCACATCAGCATTCTCCAACAACGTCAGCATTCTCCAACCTGCCAACCAGCAGGACCTTCAGGAAGTCATGGACCTCTTGCCATGACCTCCTTCCTTTCCCTCTCTGTGTGGGCTCCACCCACAGCCTGTCGAGTGTGATCGTTGCAACTCACAAAGCTGGCCTCCCTCTCCACACAACAGCTCATTTCCAGCCACATCAGAGCTGCTGCTTTCCAGCAGCACTTGAGCTTCCTTGGAAAATCACTGCAGATCCTCTGGCCCCACAACCATCAGTTCTCATCTGCATGTGCAGCAGTAAAGCTGGGGGTTATCTGGCTGGTGGTCTGGGAGAAAATAAAGAGGAATGTCTCCCTGTGGAAGGAGGAATTGCAGTGGAGATGCTGTAAGGCAGTAGCAGCTCCAGCAGCATTTCTCTGGGTAATGAGGCCTGACCACACTGAGTTAAAGATGTTTTGCAGGTGATTAATATCTTACAGCTCCTGGGATCCTTTTGAATGGGTTCCTTCACTGAGGCCAGTAGGTTTAGATTGAAGTGTGCTGTGTGAGGGACGTGGATTGTCATGATTCCCCTTTACTGCTGCAGCAGTTGTTTAACAGCAAAGGACTCATCTGACCAGAAGCATCACAGATGCCAGAAGTGCATGAAATAAGGGGTTTGCATGGAGAAAAAGACTCTATCCAGTGGCTTCTGTGTTGTTCTAACAGAGAGAGGCCTGACAGTGTTCCAGGCATGCCTGCAGTTCTATAACAAGCCTGTTTTTATTGTACATGAAGGTGTCACGTAGGTAGGGAGGGGAAAATGCACCATTAGCATGTGTAACTTTGCATGTTGGAGACAGGGGTTGTCTATCCCTGCAGTGGATTTGCTGTTCAAGAGTGAAAGCTGGAATGGGCCTGCACACACTCACATTTATCCCCTTTGGTATGTTTATAACACTAATAATATTTTTATTTTTTTTCATTAGCTGACGGATTTTTCCCTTGTTTGAACTGTGGTTGGATTTTTGCAGTGTGCTATAGCCAGACCTCGGGCAGGTCTCTGATCAGCTCATTAAACCCCCATTTCTTCTCCCTGCTGCTGTCTTCTCCTTTTTTAGAAGCAGAACCCGAGGTCGACAACCTGCTGGTTTCGGATGCCACTCCAGATGGATTCCGCCTCTCCTGGACTGCAGATGACGGGGTTTTCAACAGTTTTGTTCTAAAAATCAGGGATACCAGAAGGAAATCTGACCCTCTGGAGCTGATAATCCCAGGCCATGAGCGCACCCAGGACATAACAGGGCTCAAGGAGGGTACTGAGTATGAGATTGAGCTCTATGGACTTAGCAGTGGACAACGTTCCCAGCCTGTAAATGCAGTAGCAACCACAGGTATTGTCTTTGCAGTAGGAAAAGTGTAACCCGTTGATTCCTGTTCTTTTCAGCACCTCTCATGTTCACAGCCAGCTCTTGCTGTTCCTGAAGTGTTTGAACTGTCTCCTGCATGTCCCTTATCCACTGGTTCAGTGTGGTTGTTTATAATCAGTCTCAGATTTTGCAGCTTCATCACTGTCTATTTAATATGGTTTAATTGAGTTACTTTCATGATCTGGAATTAGGCAGCAGAGTCTGGCAATTAAAGCACTGTCTTTGAGGGCCAAGAAATATTGTCTCTGCATCAGCCTTTTTCAGGGATTTCCTGTGGCTAATTACATCTCAGCACTGCACAACAATTTACCTCCCTAGAAAAGAATTACAACAAAATGAATTTACCAGAGCCACTGAGAAGTTTTATTTATGCCTTGATCAGCAAAAGCCTAAGCACCATTAACTTAGACTGATCTTACCAGGAGCAACACGTGCTCAATAACTCAAATTAACTTGAGTTCCCTGCAATATCAAAGCTGTGATTTAGGTTCATAATTGAAACATTTCATTTTGGCATGTTTGAATGAAGTGCTTCTTTTTTTTTTCCCCCACCAAAATCATGGTTTCATTTTGAAACATATTTAAACCTAAAGCAAATGAATCCATGTCCCGTGAGGCAAATTCACTCTTTAAAAATTTCTGAGAAAGTGGTTATTTCAAATCAACTTCATTCCAGGAGGAGGGGAACAGGGAGGGGAGAAGTCTCTGAGGGGAGACCCCATCAGGGTCTGCAACTTCCTCATCAGGGGCAGCTCCGATCTCTGCTCTGTGTGAGCAGGGACAGCACCCAGGGAATGGCTGGAGCTGTGTCAGGGCAGGCTCAGGGTGGATCTCAGGGAAAGGTTCTTCCCCCAGAGGGTGGTTGGCACTGAACAGGCTCCCCAGGGCAGTGGGCACAGCCCCAAGGCTGCCAGAGCTCCAGGAGGGTTTGGACAACACTCTGAGGGACAGGGTGGGATTGTTGGGGTGTCTGTGCAGGGCCAGGAGCTGGACTGGATGGTCCTTGTGGGTCCCTTCCAGCTCAGGATGTGGCTCTAAGTTCAGTGTGTGAGGAAGCCAACAGAAATCGCTAAAAGAGGTGTTTTCCCAGCTGTCCCAGAACTCCAGGCAGCACCCAGAGCAAGGGCAGCAACAGCTCAGTATTGAACAGCCTTTCCTGAAATAGCCTCCTGCTTCCCCCTGATGTCTGTGGGGCCAGCTGGGAGCAGCTCCACTGACAGCCATCACATCCCTTGGATAAACAGCCAGGGCACACATTCCCTCACCCAGACATTTACAGGAAGCAGAACATGCATCCATCACAAACCTCTGCTCTCTGGGCTCCTGCAGCGGGACTCCTAATGGAGAGGGGTGTTTAAAGTCCACTGCACTTGGGAGCAGCATGTCCCCATTTTCCCTGACTTCCAGGATATTTATGGTAAACCACCAAGAGTTATCATTTTCCCCATGACTACATTCTTATTCACTTCTTTCAGGGAGATTTATGTCACCTCCTGAAGCCAACAGCCCAAAAGATGTTTGTCAGCTGGAAACAGCCCGTGGATAATTGACAATAGAGCTGGAGCCACAAAAATCCAGCTAAATAATTGAGACTGCAGGTTACACCACATTTGGGTGGTTGGGCTGCCAAGGCATCTAACTAATTTCTTTTTTAGGAGTTGATTACTGCACAAACATATGTGTATTTATAGCATTTCCAGTGTGGTTGCAGAGAAATATTTCCATCCCTGAAGGGGTAATTCAGGCAGGCTTATATTCAGCCATGCTTGATTCTGGCCTTTGTACAAGTGAGCAAGGAATAAATCAGCTAGAAAATCTTCAGCTTTAGTAGAGGAGATAGTAAAATAACCTTTTTCTATGTCTCTTGTGTTGGTCCTGCAGCTGGTACCTTGCTTGGAGGCTGAGGTGATCTCCCTTCCTCCCATCACACCAGGAATGTGCTGGGAAACCACTGGGCATGGGAGTTGACAATAAATGTCTTCCCACACCCATCACAGGGAGTTCTCCCTCCATAATTGACTCGTATGTACAAGGGAACAGCAACAGTTTTCCTTGGCATTTTCCCTTCATCAATCCTGCTGTGATGTAAAACATTATAAAATCCCTGTAGTGCAGGGCAGCACCACACAGATCTGCAGGTCTGCCCGAGGTGGCACAGGGGACTTTGTCCACTGCTGCTCCCAGTTGGTGTCTTTGAGAAATTCCTCTGTAAAATGTCAGTTAAAGTGCCTTTCAGCCCCTGCCCTGGGACCACAGCACAGCTGTGGGCCACTTCATATCCTCTGTAGGAATTATGGGTTTTGTGCTGCTGCTTTCCTCTTCTCCTAATGATGTTTTGCCACCCTGTGACAGCATTTTTCATCTGAGATGATCTCAGAACACTCCACATGCTCTTTATACGTGATAAATGCAACCTGCTGCTTCCTCTGCTGCTTAGGAGAAGAAAGCCAATGAACAACAAACTCTGGTTTGTTGGGAATGAAAGAACAATTAACAAAACCCATCCCTAACGAATGACAGCAGTGGGGGGCTTTAACTGCCTCACAGGAAGGTTCTGTCTCTGATATAGCTCTTGGAGAATGATGCTGGAGGATAAAGTTCATTAATTACCTGCACCTGCCCAACAGATGAGCTGAGGTTCTCTATGAGTGACAAGCCAGAAGCACATTTTCTCTGCCTGCTTAATTTTGGCTTTCAGGTAGCTCAAGAAGATGATTTTCTTTGCTTCTTTTTAATTCCCCTGTGCTCAAAGGTACTACTCTCTTACATCTCTGGGACTCATTCCAAGACTGATGCTCTGTTGGTCCATTAATGGACTTTTTTTTGCCAGGTTCTCTCCCAGGAAAATTGCTGCTGTTGGGATACCTGGGATTGTGGAAAACTCAGATAGTCAGAGCTCTTCTTACCACTGTTTGTTCTGCACCTGGTACAGAAAACAGGCATGAGCTCCATGGAATTGGGCCCAGCAGAGTCCAAGTGGGATGGATTGGTTATTGTATTTCCTGGGAAAGGCTGGAATTCCCCACGTGTGTGAAAACAAGTGCTGGTCCATCTCTTTGGTCTCCAAAGAGCACTTTTCTTCAGCCACTCAGGGCACCTCTAATGTGAAGCAAAATCAATTTGATTTTCACTTCTCTCTCTTGGCCATTTTTCCATTTGTGCTTTTATCTTTCCTTCAGACTGCCCTTAAAACAGGAACACCTGTAGCCCTTCCAAACCCCACCTTGCTTTGTTTTCTTTAATTCTTTTCTTTCCTTGGCTTTTCCACGTGAGCAAACCCCACAAACACATCATCTCTGGTGAGCTCCAGAGGAATAATTTACATTTCTCTGGAGGGCTCAGTTGTTTTTCTTTCCTTGCCTTCCAGTTGATTTAGTGCAAGGCTGCTGGAGCTTTGGGGACACATGGAACAAACAGCCCTCTGACTTTATTCCCTCAGACACGTTCTTTCCAAGCTATTTCAAGCACAGTCCCTTTTTTTTTCCCTCCTCTTGCCCTGCTTCCCTGCCCTCAGCCTGTCTCCACTCCTCTTAATGTGGTTGATGCTTGGTATCCCTCCTCTTTGTGCTGCTCTGTGTATGCTATTTACGTTTTTTTAACACACCAGAGCTGTTTTGGTTACAACCAAAAAAGCTGGAAAGTTTGGAAGTGTAATGTAAACCTTGGAGTGCCAGGTCCTTCCACCAGGTCCTTCCAGAAGCCCTTTCCATTCATGTTTTAGAGGAGCTTAATTAAGCCTCAAACTGGAATATTTCAGATGTGTGTTGCTTTCATCTTAAGTTTGGGCCATTTTGGTAAAATTTCAACTCATGTGCTCAGAGACAGATTCCTGAAGAATCCAGAAGAAACTCTTGCTGTTCTAGTTTGAAGCCAGCAGAAGTTACAGGCAGTGCCTGGAGGAGCCTTGGTGGACTCCCAGCCTGAGTCCAGGTCTACTTTAGGATCCTGTAGCAGAAACTTTGCTCCCAGGAGGAGAGATCTGTCCACTGCCAAGGGCTGGTGTTGCTGTGTGTCACTCTGGGGTTCAATGGAAGGTCTAAAAATAATCCAAGTGAAACTGAGGTAGAAAAAGCACTAAATGCAGTGTTTCCTGGGTAATAGAAGGGCGTTTCTGTAAATGTTCCTCTGTGCTTTTCTGTAATATCTCTGTTACTTTTAAGTAGCTACACGTTGTATTTTTAAGTTATGTCCTACTGTAATGGTCCTGAAAACAGGAGAATTTAGAACCAAACAAGTTGTTGCTGTGATAAAACCATGAACAGTTTGGTTGCATTTGTGTTGTTTAGGACAGATCTTTGATAACCACCAGCCCTTGGGGTAGAGGGATACGACAAATCAGTATTCCAGCACTCAGGAGTGATAAACAAACCATTTACCTTCTCTTTTCTGTGTGGTGTGTTCTCCTCTGGCAGTCGTGGGGTCTCCCAAGGGAATTTCTTTCTCTGACATCACGGAAAACGCTGCCACAGTCAGCTGGACACCCCCCCGCTCCCGCGTGGACAACTTCAGGATCTCCTTCGTCCCCGTCACGGGAGGTGAGCGACTCTGAGGAGGGGCAGGGAGGCAAGAGGGGGAACAAAAAGGGTGTGCTGTGCTGACATCCCCCTCTCAGTGCACATCCCAAATGATTTTACACAATCAACTATTTTTCCTGCACACCAGGAGGGTGGGTGTGGAACCAACAGTGCCCACATCCCATGGACAAGAGTGGTGAGGGAGCTCAGGGGGAGATGCTGGAATGGTTGCACTCCTAACATGTCTCTGTCTGAGCCTCCTCCTGCTTCCAAGCTGTCTCATTATTTTGTAGGCACTTTATGAGCTGAGCATATTGGAAAAGATGGCCCTTGGAAATAATAATCATAATCCATGGTTATAAGAGTTTTCCAGTGCAGTGATTTTACTTAGAACCCCCCAGGGTTGTCTCATTCCACCCATTATAGCTCTGGTTTAGTGTTCAACTTTAAAAACTCCCTGAACTTAAACCGATTTTTAGCATAATTTAGGGACATCTCTAAAGGGAAACAGCTAAAGAACAAACACTGAAGATGTCAGGAACAAAAAAGTCATGCTGTTGACAGAGACAATTAAAGATTTATGCCTTCAGGCAACATGAACTGTAAGCACATGTGTAATTTTAAATATATAGCGGTTCCACAGAAGAAAAGGAATCCACAGTCATAGAGTTAGGCACTTGTCTAAGTGCTTCCCTGGAATAAACCCAGAATTTGAAATAAATATGTGTCCTAAGTCTTCACCACACATGCAGCACCTCTTAAAATAATATAGGATATATCCTTATTCCAAATGCCTTGGGTAAAGGAGGACTGTCCAGCCCTTACCAGAAACAAAGCAGGTCTAAGCTTCAAGTCCTGTCCTTGCAGGTGTTTGAACTTCCATGTGGAGAGTGCTGTGTTTTTTTCTTATACCTTGTTCTTGAAATTAGATTTTTCTGAACAGAAATCCTGAAATCACAAACTGGTTTGGGCCGGAAGGGACCTTAAAGCTCATTCAACCCCCCTGCCATGGGCAGAGACACCTTCCACTAGAGATGTTGCTTTTTTTTCTTACTGAACACAGACCAATTTCTTAGATTTGGGTGTTATTGCATCGGTATGTTGCCCTGAGGCTGCTCTTTGACATCAGTGATCGTAACTAACTGGGAAAAGTCTCCTCTTCCTGTACAATGTCACGATGTCTTTACCTAGAAACACATCCTTTCAAGCTTTTACTGGAGTGTTGTGTCACTAATCCCTTGGCATTTGGCCTCTTCCCAGGGACTCCAAATGTTGTTACGGTCGATGGAACCAAGACAAGGACCAAGCTGGTGAAGTTGGTCCCGGGTGTAGATTACAACGTCAGCATCATCTCTGTGAAGGGCTTTGAGGAAAGTGAGCCCATCTCTGGCATCCTGAAAACAGGTAATCCAGAAGGAGGAAATGTCTCACCTGCAGACCCACTGAGATCCCATTTTTGCTGTCCACACAAACCCTGAGAAGCTTTTTGCCCGCTCCTTCTTGGTGCCTTTGCATTTTAGATGAGCGTAGAACTTGTAAATTTGATCAGGCTTCCACTTCCTAAGTGCTAAACCAACTTGTTTGAATACAATTCATGTATTTACAGTCCTAATTCAGCAGGAAAAAAAAAAAATGAAACAGAAGTTTAATTAATGGCATTTTTGAGATGAGGGAGCAATGATGAGACCAGTTTCTGTTGTGGAGTCAAACTCCACATCTCCCATGTTCCAACCTGTTTTAAACATAAAAACATTCTCTCTCCTGTTTTTTCTTCAGTGGAGCTTTAAATACCCCTGCAGGAAATGAGGTTCCACTCTTCTCCCTGCACCCTCATTCTTCATTTTTGGGGATTTAACAGGCATCCAGAGAACTGGGGCAAGGAGCAAGATTATGAGTATCAGATAATAACAGGAGATTTATAGCCCTTTGCAGGTGTACTGGAGGCAGAGATCCATCCTAATTCAGAGAGACCATAAACCCACATGAAAAATAGAGTCCTACAAAGACTCAAGGCAGGACATGGAGGGATTTTGGGTGGTTGGCTGGCTGTGGGATTGATTTATTTCAAACTTGCAGGGCAAGCTGCTGGAAGGTCACAGTGGCCATCAGTTGCTGTCACTTTAGTTATTTTTCCCAGCTCTGTCTCCTGAGTTTGCTCCAAAAACAGCCCAGATTTGAGAGTGTGGAGAGAAATATGTCAGCTCTGACAGAGCTGTTAAGATTGATGGTATTGAGGCTGATCTGAGAACATGGTTAGTTCTCTCTGTTCCCAGTGTTCCATCTCCCCAGGCATTGACCTCCCTTTCCAGTGGAGGCTCTTTGTGTCTCTTTATAGGCACTGACGTCTTTCCTGAGGAGCTCCACAATTCCAAAGGGAATCATAAAAGCTGCACCAAGGCATTTTCTATCATATATTTACAACAGAGTCGAGAATATTTGTCTAATTTCTTCAATCTGGTTCTTTTTCTCCAGCCCTGGACAGCCCCTCAGGCCTGGTAGTGGTGAACATCACCGACTCTGAGGCTCTGGCAACCTGGCAGCCAGCAATTGCTGCTGTGGATAATTATGTGGTGTCCTATGCTTCTGAGGAAGGTGAGAAGAGTCAGGGGTGGTTGGGGAGATGGGGCTTTACAGCTCTCCAGAGATGCTCAGGAGTGAGTACCAGAGAATCACAGAGTGTCCTGAGTTGGAAGGGATGGCCAAGGATCAGCCAGTCCAACTCCTGGCCCTGCCCAGGACATTCCAACAGTGCCACCCTGTCCCTGAGAGTGTTGTTCAAACACTCCTTGAGCTCTGGCAGCCTTGGGGCCACGACCAGATGGCAGGGGGCTGCTATTTGGAGGAGGTGCCTTGCTGGAAGCATTTTAAAAACCCTCATTTTAATTGAGCACTTTCAGTTCAGCCACGGACAGAGAGAAGGGAGATGCTTGCAAAGCGAAGGTGGTGCTATAATTCCTGTGAACACTAGAGAGTGCTCATACTTTTAGATAAAGGTCTCTGGTGTTAATTCAGAGCCAGCAGAGGTGCCAGCACAGAGCTGGGCTCTGAGCTCTTACTATTTTGCAATTGCATCCAACCAGTCAAAAAACAAATCAGTGAATAAATCAGTGGAGTTGAGCATGGCGTGAATGCCTGAATGATGCCTCTCTTCTCATTTTCTTCTCTTCATCTCCTCTGTGTTTTCTCCTCAGAGCCAGAAGTCACTCAGATGGTGTCAGGGAACACTGTGGAGTATGACCTGAAGGGCCTCCAGCCTGCCACCACGTACACGCTGAGCGTCCACGCGCTGAAGGACACGCAGAGGAGCGAGACCCTCTCCACGCAGTTCACCACAGGTGTGTCCCACCTCCCTGCAGGGACAGCTGCCACCTCTGCCAGGCCCACCTGCCGCTGCTTTCATCAAGCCAGGCAGCACATTGAGCTTTTTTCCACCAGAAACCTGAGTGTTGGCAGTGTTTGCATCTCACCCGCTCTGGTGGAAGCCTAGAGGTGGTTCTGTGTCACCAGTCCTGGAGACTCTCACGCAGAGCAGGAGCTTTTCTTTGGGGGATGCAGTTGGGCTACCAGTGTTGAAGCTGCCCAGTTGGTTTTCCATGAGTATCCATGAAATCATGGATATTCCTCATTTTCCTGACTGTATTTGGCTTGTCCCAGAGAATTAACTTGAGAACCAAGAGCTGAGCTACTCCAGTCTAGAGTTATAATCACAGTGGAGAAGGGAATTTGTAGCCAGACCAAGTATGAAAAGTTTTCCTCTTCAAAAGAGTCATCATTGGAACCAAGGTTTTATTTTATTGTATTTTATTTTATTATATTTTATTTATATATTCTCTCTATCTATATAATACATAGTATATATTATATAAAATATATATTATATTAAAATATATATCATATATTTACAGTATATATTATATAAAGACACATTTGTGTACATTTTATATATTTATATGTTATACAAATATATTATATATTATAAATTTATAGCATATATTATATAAATACATATATCTGTATGTATTTAATATGTTTATATAACTAAATATTTATTTATACATCAATACCAATCTTTCTTCTTGTGTGTGAAATAATGAAATGCACCATTGTGTCTCCAAAGACACTTCAATGCAACTACTTATAAACTAAAAGGCCTGGGACAAGTCAATATTTTAACTTAGATAAAGCAAATACCTTTATGTTTAACACCTCCCCCACCCCCCCAATGGCAAAATCGCTTTTTAATCACCAAATTTAGGTCGAAATGTTTTTTAATTTCAGAATTTCTGGGGAGGAAAGGTTTGTTTTTCCTGGCCTGTTTTAATATGCTGCCCATAAGACAGTCAGTGTGTTTAGCTCCTTGAAGGTGTGATTGCAACTGCTCTGGTGTCTCCCTCAGGCCTGGATGCTCCAAGGGATTTAAGTGCCACTGAGGTTCAGTCAGAAACAGCTTTGATGTCTTGGAGGCCTCCACGTGCTCCAGTCACTGGGTATCTCCTGATTTACGAGTCCATTGATGGCAGAGTCAAGGTACAGCACTGGGAACCAAACCAGAGGGGTTTGCCTCAAAATTGGGCAGCAGAGATGCTCTGAACTGTCCAGCAATGGGACATAATCACGTGCCTTAAATTAAATATAGTAAAATGCTAATTAGCTCTTTCCGTGCCAGACTGAACACAAATGCTTTAAAACTCCTTAAGTACTTTCCTACCTCATTATTCCCTGGAACAGGAGCTCTCCATTGCAGCCTGAATTTTGACACTCATCTCTCCACAATGCAGATAAAAGCACAAACAGGGGTTTTCCCTCATTCCAAACCTGTGTCATGGAATAAACTCGCACACCCCAAAGGATGGCATTCCCCTTTCTAAACTCAGCAGAACCCATCCCTGGGGTCTTCTAAGGCAGGATGAATCACCTTTGGAAGTGCCTCTTGTTCTCCAATAGTTTTGTTCTGCTCCTACATAATTAGATTACACCAAGTGCTTGAATATGAACCAGGTGAATTCCAAGAAAAAAATCCAATTTTGGATGCCCAGCCTGGTACGTCAGAGACAGTTCTGAATTCCAGGAAGGCAAATTCCCTAAGCAGACTGAAGATCAATCTTCTACTGTGACAGAAAAACAGCCTTTCAAAGGCTGGAGTGTAACATTTCCTTGTCCTAAAGGATGATTCTCCCCAAGTTTTTATGACTTTCACAATGTGAAAGTTCAAGGCATGTAAACATTTCTGCTGCCTTGCTTTTAAACCACACAGCTTGTGCATTATGATGGGAAAGATTCATTTCCAGGCAATTTCTATTGAACTTTTAGGGAAAGTTACCTTGATAAAAATCTTAGAGGAATAAGTCTGTATTAATAGTTTTGTGTTAATTAACCTAGGTGATTAAAAATACCATAAATAATTACCCCCAAAAATGATGTGACAGCCTAAAATATGTAACCAATCTGGTCATTATGCTTTTCTTTTCCCTCTGAGATTTCCCTGTATTGTTTTTCCTCTCCCTAGGAAGTCATCCTAAATCCTGAGACAACTTCCTACAACCTGGCAGAGCTGAGCCCATCTACCCAGTTCACCGTGAAACTCCAGGCCTTAAGTGGATCCCAGAGGAGCAAAACAATCCAGACTATTTTCACCACAAGTAAGGACTTCAGAGCACGTGCACAGCTGAAATAATCTAAATTACCACTCTCAGGACAGAGCTGAGCTCTGCAATAAGGACAAACAGACCTTATAGAAGAGTTTAATCCTATTTTTATTATGCACTTGTAGAGTTGGTGCAAAGTCTCCAAAGTTCCCCCTTAGCTGTCATCTGTTTTCCCCAGACTGGCAGGATGAAATTCTTTACTAATATTCATCCACATCACCTCTCTCTGATGAAACATCCTGCCTTTCCCATGTAAAATACCAAAAGGAACTCTTTAAAATCCAGCTGACACCCTGATTTGCCTCTGAGCTGTGAAAACAAATCAGTGCTTTGAGATGAAATGAAGCAAACCACAAGCAGAAGTGAGTTCAGTGGTCTGAGGAGATGAATTTCTGGGCTTTTTCCTCCTCTTTCTGGGATGGGTTATCTCAAAGCCACCCTGCTCCAGCCCTAACAGGACAGCTCTCCAGTGAGCTGGATGCAGGAATAAATTGGCTTCTTTGATTGTCTTCTCCCAATTAATTTATTTTTGGGTGAAATCCTGTCTTTATATTCCCCCTCCCTTTTCTGTCCCCTGATGAGAGATTGGTAGATTTGGGTTAACCCAGAAGTTGCTGTACCAGAGCTCAGCACATTTCAGTATTTAGCTGGAGATGCACTCCCTCCTTGTAGGGAATTCCCAGCACTTCCAGAAGTGCAGACAGATGTGCAAAAGAATATCCAAAAGAAGAATTTTTCATCATCTGCTGTTTCCTGTGAGTGTTTTATGGGCTGTAACCATAAACCTGTCTGCAGGTTCTGTACCTGGCTGTGCCGTTGACCCGCAGTGGATTTTCCTGACTCATCTGTATTAGAAATTCCTTGTAACTGCTGATTTTTTTAAGGACTGCTCTGTCTTTTCTTGTGTGTGCAGCTGGGCTGCTCTACCCTTACCCCAAGGACTGCTCCCAGGCCCTCCTGAATGGAGAAGCCACCTCTGGGCTCTACACAATTTACGTGAACGGGGACAAGGCTCAGCCTCTGCAGGTCTTCTGCGACATGGGCGAGGATGGGGGCGGATGGATTGTGAGTATTGGGCAGCAAATCCCACTCTGCTCCTCTGGGACATCCCTCAGAGTGTTTATCTTATCAGAGTGGGGCTGACTTGTCTATAAATCTGGGGAATTTTATCCTAAAACAAGGTTACCAGCTCTTTCTGTAGCTGGAGGAGAGAGAGGTGTCTCCAAAGGATGGGTCATATCAGTGGTTTCAGCACCTTGGGAAGGCACTGATCCCTCTCCACTGGCTACAGGGGCTGCTGAAATGACCATCTTAGATTGATACACACCTTCTAAATAGTTATCAAGGCGAGGGGAAGGTGAACTGACTTTGTTTGGATGAGAGAGAGAGTGAAGGAGGTTAAAGCACAGCCCAGGAGGAACGTTTGTTCAGCACATGGAGTGGTGGCCAGCCAGGCTTCCCAGGCCACTGCACAAGGGACAATAAAGGAATGGCATTAAAAATGTGCTGATATCCTCAAACCTGAACATGCCAGAGGGACTGAGGGCACAGGAAGGAAAAAGGAGCTGGAGAAATGCCTGGCTACGAGAGAGGGAATGGAGAAATCCCTTGGCTGAGGAACACAGAACTGCCAGAGGGTTGTTAAAAGGGCAGAGAGCAGGAACTGAAAGGCAGCATCATGTAGGGGAGCCTGGGAACCCAACAGAGAAACCCAGCAGATAAACTAGAGCCTTAAAAAACCCAAGGAGCATCCAACAGTATTGTAATTCAGTAACTGCAGTGAGACTCTGCTTTGGGTGGTATAAGAAGGGGGGAAGGAGTGTGAAGTTCTGTGTTTGCAAAAGCCCCAGGGCTTGTCCCCTCTCTGCCCAGGGCAGTCTGTCCATAACAATTGTTCCATGTGGGGTTGTAGGTGTTCCTGAGGCGTCAGAACGGAAAGGAAGATTTCTACAAGAACTGGAAGACTTACGTGGCAGGTTTTGGAGATCCCAAGGATGAATTCTGGATAGGTGAGTGACAAGAATTTGTCTTTTTTTTTTTTTTTTTTAATTAAAAAAAAAGCCCAAAAGTTTAGGAACAACTTAAAAGCTTCTCATTTAGTTAGCAAGAGTGTTTGTAAAGGGGAATGGGGTCTGGTGGAAGGAGAGCAAGGGGAACAGAGGTTCAAACCTGTCCCTCCCACTGCAGTTCAAAGATGTCATGTTTGGGTCACCACCCAATGCCCACTGGTGCTCTGGAAGAAGCCACAGGTAACCTGAGCAGTAACTGCAAATCACCTTCTTCCTGTGCCTCTGGGGCACCCCCAGCAACAGAACCTTGTGATTCAGGAGAATCCAAGCATGGAAAATAGATGTAGAAAACCAACGTTTTGGAAAAGAGAAGTGAACACCCCTCACACTTGGGAAAATAGAAGTAAAAAGCCTACATTTTGGGTAAATTTAAGTAAAACCCCCCACATTTTGGAAGATGGAAGTTAAACCCCCACGTTTTCAAAGGTTGTGCAGCATTTTATTTGGTTGTCAATGAAAGACAATGAGGATCACACGGCACAGCTTTGAGTGCTTTTCCCAATGGTCTTCCTGCTTCTCTGGTTGCAAGTTAAGAGCTCTCTCAGTCAGCCTGGGTTTATTTATTTGCTGTTGTGCTGCCATCACCTTAAAGCTGAACTTTCCTCCCCAGTGTTTGTGCCCTGCTCTGTTCCTTCACCTTCCTCTGCTCCCATTTATGGGATTGCAGAGAAACAAACACGGAGAGACAAACAAACTGCTCCTTTTTGTCCACAGGTCTGGAGAACCTGCACAAAATCACTTCTCAGGGGCAGTACGAGCTGCGTGTGGACCTGAGGGACAAGGGGAGACAGCCTATGCTGTCTATGACAGGTTCAGTGTGGGGGATGCCAAGAGCAGGTACCGCCTCAGGGTGGATGGGTACAGTGGCACAGCAGGTGAGAGCAAATATTGATCTTTTCCCCTTCTCATTTATGATTTCTACCCCACTGACTCAGTGTAATTATGTGTGTGTTGACCTGTTCACAGCAGGTACCTTTTCTTTGTGTAAGGTGTTTGAGAATAGGAAAGTATCGATGTGTTTTATGGTTCCATTTTAAATCCTCCAGTCATGTTGGTGCCACATTTCATGGCCCGCTTATGACAGGATTTAAACAAGTATATTAAACCACAGCATATATCTCATCTGGCCAATCTTGACTCTCTTCTGTGATATTGATTGCTTTCCTTCTCCTTTATGATTTTCTCCCCATTGGCTCGTGGTAACTATGTGAATGTTAATCACCAGCACGGCAGGTACCTCTTCTCTGTTAGGTGTTGCAAAATATCAGTGTATTTTATGTTTCCATTTTAAATCCTCCAGTCATTTTGGTGCCACATTTCATGCCACGCTTGTGACAGGATTTAAACAAGTATATTAAACCACAGTATATCTCATCTGGCCAATCTTGGCTGTCTTTTATACAGCTAATAATAGCTTGGCACAGCCTCACTCCTTGTCAGTAGAATTTGCAGCAAAGTCCTGCTTTAACATGATTTATAATTTTGCTGAACAAATCAGCTGCCTTTTGTAATCATGCTGGGGCAAACCCTGCAGCCCTTGCTGAGTCTTCTCCAGGGCTTCAGAGGATTAAGAGATAAATCCAGTTTCACAACCTGTCTTATAAGGAGATAATTTCACGCTGCTGGTGCAGAGATGTGTGTGTGGGCTCTGCCCTGTGACCAGCACATGAACTTTATGCACAGACTGTAGAGGTACAAAGGATATGCAGCAGCAGAATCAATATCTGTTTAGTTTAGGTGGGATGTTGGGAAGGAATTCTTCCTTGTGAGGGTGGGCACAGGTTGCCCAGAGAAGCTGTGGCTGCCCCATCCCTGGAAGTGTCCAGGACACCTGATGGAAGGTGTCCCTGCCCATGGCAAGGGTGGGACTGGATGATCTTTAAGGTCCCTTCAACCCAAACCATTCCAGGATTCTAAGGCAAATAGAGTAGTGCAGGTTGGCAGTAGCTGCTACAGCTGGTAGGATTCAGTCAATGTGGAGACTCCTTTGGTCTTTCTTCCCTCCTTGTGATTTGGTTTGTCCACACTATACAGGGCCAAAATCCAACTTTCAATAAGCTACATAAAACCAAAAATCCACTTAATATGGTGGGGATTAGAAACCACTTGGAAAAATACTTTTATTTGCCTGCGACAACAAAATTTGTGTATTTCCTTCTATATTAAAACGAGTCAAGTTATAAAAACTTAGATACACAGCCAGGCTTTAGACAGTGAAAAAACAGGCAAAACACTGACCTTGCTCTTTCATCTCCCCCCATCCAGGTGACTCCATGACCTACCACAATGGGAGGTCCTTCTCCACCTTTGACAAGGACCACGATTCTGCCATCACCAACTGTGCTTTGTCATACAAAGGTGCTTTCTGGTACAAGAACTGCCACCGGGTCAATCTGATGGGCAGATATGGGGACAACAACCACAGTCAGGTGAGTTTGGAAGCTTCTGCAATCCAGGAGACAAAGGGGAATTGCAATAATGGATCTGTCTGATGGTTCAACCAGATATCAGAGCACCAAGCCAGCCCATTCTTTGGGATCATAGAGAAACATATGGACAGTTGTTCACAAAATAAGGATTTAATATCAGCTGTTGAAATATTGATACTTTTTCTGATTTCCCAAGGGAATATCCCAATGCGTAGGGAACAATTAGAGTTTTCAACATGTGAAACAAAATGTTCTTCCTGCCCTGAAAGACGGACAAGGAGGGACAGCTCTGGGGGCTCAAGGTGCTGGACCTGGTCCAGGGCAACCCCTGGGTCAATCCAGGCTGGGAATGGGCAGATGGAGCAGCATCTGCTGGGGTGCTGGTGGGGGAGAGGCTGGACATGACCCAACCCAGAAACCCCATGCCCTGGGCTGATCCCTCAGTGTGGGCAGCAGGGGAGGGGGGGATTCTGCCCCTCTGCCCCCTCAGGTGAGACCCCCCTGCAGAGCTGCCCCAGCCCTGGGGAACAGCACAGCAAGGACAGGGAGCTGCTGGAGAGAGGCCAGAGGAGGCACCAAGATGGTCAGAGGGATGGAGCAGCTCTGCTGGGAGGAAAGGCTGGGAGAGCTGGGATTGGTCAGCCTGGAGAGGAGAAGCTTTGGGGTGACCTCATTGTGACCTTCCAGAGCCTGAAGGAGATACAAGAAAGATGGAGAGAGACTGTTTACAGGGGCCTGGAGTGACAGGACAAGGGGGAATGGCTGCAAACTGACAGAGAGGAGGTTTAGATATTAGGAAAAAATTCTCCCCTGTGAGGGTGGGGAGGCCCTGGCACAGGTTGCCCAGAGAAGCTGTGGCTGCCCCATCCCTGGAAGTGTCCAAGGACAGGTTGGACAGGTCTTGGAACAACCTGGGCTGGTGGAAGACGTCCCTACCCATGGCAGGGGGTGGAACAAGATCATCTTTATGGTCCCTTCCAACCCCAACCATTCTGTGACAACCTGTGGGTGGGTCTGGACAGGTTTTTCATTCCCTGGGCTTCCCAAAGCCCCTCCTTGTTGTGCCCAAACCAGAGAACAACCCCAGTGTGAAAGGAAAGCAGCAAAGTCTGACCACAGGAGCGAATGTGTGACCCACCACTCCCCATCTTCTCCTTCCCAGGGTGTGAACTGGTTCCACTGGAAGGGCCACGAGTACTCCATCCAGTTCGCAGAGATGAAGCTGAGACCCTCCAGCTTCCGAAACCTGGAAGGCCGACGGAAGCGAGCGTAGAGCCCCGGGGAGGGCAGGGGGATGGGGGGGGACAGATGGACAGGGGGGTGTGGGGAGGTCCCCTGGCACGGCTGGGGTGGCTCTGAGGAGCTGGCAGCTGTCCCAAAGCACGGCTGACCCGCGGAGGATTCGCAGCGTTCCCAACAACAGGCCTTAAATACCCTGGCTTAAATATTCCAGCTGCCCAGCAGTAACGTCCTCCACACCAAAGACAACCATCTCGAGGGTTGGATGTTGGGTAATTAATTTTTTATTTTATTTTTATTTTTATTATTGGGTTTTTTCCCCAGAAAGGCTCTGGGATCAAAGTTCTTCCACGTTCTGAGTATCTCTTGGGTGGCCCAGGGGAGGGGAGGGAGAACAGCTTTGTACATTGGTAGTTTGTTTTAGAACCAGCCATATTTTACACATGGAAATGTGGTAAGATTAATTGTCATCGTTATTATTATTATTATTATTATTATTGTTAGTTATAATGGAAATTTGTCCATTGTTTGAAAGCCTTTTTTTTATATATATATCAAGTACCACAGAGAAGGAGGGAATGGGAAGGGGGAAACAGTGTGTTTTTAAGCTTAAGCATAAGATTAATATTATTAATATAAAGACAAAGTAATAATAATAATAATGATAATAATAATAAGCTACGTTTTTGTAATTTTGAAGAGAACCATGCTTTGGGAAACACAGCAGGACAGTGTCTGATTGTAAATTTTTTTTTTTTATAAATAAAAGCACAATTACTTTTAAATAAATTTCTACCTTTTTTTTTTTTTTTTCATACATGTTGAATTTGTGCATGTCCAGGATATATTTAGATGGGGACATAAAAGACAGGCTGAGAATGATAAGGCTGCTGAGCCCCTACTGAAAACTGTTCCTTTAGTCAGTGACTGGTTGTAAGTATTTTGGTGGGTTTGTTACAGTGAAATGCCCCTGAGGATTTGGTTGCTTTCCAAAACATCATTCTTACTTTTCCTGCCCAAAAAACCTCTTACATGTTTTCCTAAGTGTTACTGACCAATGTTTGCTCCATCCAGGTGGGAATAACTAACAAATGCAAGGAAAATACAGAGTTGTTGTTAGGAACCATTGGCAGCTTTGAACACTTGTGTAAATAAAGGGCTCTCTTTTTTTTTTTTTTTTTTTAATATGATGAAAATAAGTGTAGTTCCTCTGTATCACCCTCTTCAGTTGAAGACAATAAAAGATCTTTTTGTTTTAATCCAGTCTCTCTGCCCTACTTCAAGGTTGCATTTTTCAAAGAGAACAAATGTTTTTGTCTCCTCCTCAGTGCTGTGTAAAATATCACTACAAACCTTCGAAACCAGGAGGGAGAAAAGGAATGAGGGAGGGAATCACTTCCCTTCACTGTTAGGTCCCACCTTCCTAATTTATATAGATATATTTTGTTGCAATATTGTTGTTATTTTTAATTGCAGTTCTTCCATCACTGCATTTCTGGGCTGTAGCTGAGCACTGACCCTTGGGGAGGGTTGGAATGAATCCAGAGCAGGCCATGGAGATACTCCAGGAGCTGGAGCCCCTCTGCTCTGGAGCCAGGCTGGGAGAGCTGGGGGGTTCACCTGGAGAAGAGAAGGATCCAGGGAGACCTGAGAGCCCCTTCCAGGACCTAAAGGGGCTCCAGGAGAGCTGGAGAGGGACTGGGGACAAGGGATGGAGGGACAGGACAAAGGGAAATGGCTGTCCCTGCCCATGGCAGGGGGTGGGACTGGATGCTCTTTAAGGTCCCTTCCAACCCAAACCATTCCATGATTCCGTGGTCACATCCCAAGACCACCCTGCTGTTCACAGTCTTGACTGAAGCCTTGGCAGTGCCCCCATGGGAAGAGCCTGGTGGGTACCCCCCCAATGCCAGGGTGTAACTGGGACCACCCTCACTGTTAGAGAGCCCTGGGCCAGCAGGAGTTGCTGGCTGGGGACACAGAAGGTGCTGCCAACAGGAGCCCCAAAACCTGTGAGTTTTGCTGTGTTAATAATCAGGCTCAGCAGCAGATTCGTGTTCAAAAACCACTTGAACGTGGCAGTTGAGGACAAGATTTAATGAGGAGCAGGATGGTGCTTGTTTGACTTGATGATCTTAAAGGTGCTTTCCAACCTGGGTGATTCTATGATTCCACATTTCAGAAATGTCTGATTTCTGTCGGCATTCACAGTTGCATTTCCCAGGAATTGCCTCACACCATGCCCAGCTCCCCTTTGCTGGGCAGGGCTTTGGGAGCACAGACTGAGCCACACAGGGCTGGTGCAGAGGATTAACCCTGTGGGAGCAGGCAATGCCTGGCTGGGGAAGCGGGAGAATTCCTAAAAGAATTAATAAAACTTTGGAAATCATCTGCTCATCCAGGGAGTATTCCAGCATCCCTTGGCAGCCCTGCTCTCTCCTGCTCCACCCGAAGCCTGGCTGCCAGCAGATGGCACGAGGGGTCCGTGTGCCTTGGGCTGTGCCTGCTCTGGCAGCACCTGGAAATCCTGTGGATACCCAAACATCACTCCAGACACTGCCACTCCTCACTGCTGCCTCCCCCTGTGGTGACATCCAGCACTCTGAGCTTCCTCCCTGGCACTGATGTCTCTGCAACAGTGGTTTTGTTAAGAAAATTATCTGTACTTAATAACCCATCACCCCATGGCCACACAGCAGGAGCTTTTATTTTATCTTATTGATTTATTTATTTATTTGTCTTATTTATTTTATCTTATTTACCCATAAGATAAAGTTAATATTTGGCTGGCAGGAGCAGGACCTGAGTCACAGCAAAAGCAAACATCGAAGAGAGACTTCCTCCATTAATATTATTCCACGTAATTTGAATTTTTTTCTTCCCTCCCTCCCTCCCAACTGAAGTTATATTACTGAGTATTGTTTATTTTGCACTAGGAACACGAGTGTCCTCTGACCTCTCAGAGCACTGGCAAGGGTGTGAGCTGCAGCACTGTATTAAATTCATTATCTACAATTAATAGCCCTCCTTTGGTGTTTATCACAGTAAATGACAGGCAGCATAAAAAAGAACAAATCCAATAATGAAGTAACATGCTCCTCTCTCCAGATGCTTTCCAAGTTATTAGGAAATGGCACTAAATCCACATAACCGGGCCCTTGGAAGCTCTTGCAGTCTGTTTGCAGACATTCAGGGCAAGAACTGACATTTATGAGATGATTTCCTCACTCCCAGTCCCAGCCCAAAGCTGCCTGTCCCTGGCTGTGGTGTCATTTACCTTGGCAGCTCCACGAGAGCTGCTGGAGACGGCTCAGGTTTGCTCCTCGCTCCAGGACAGACTCTGCACAGGAGCAGGATGATATTTCCCGTAATTACTCACTGACAGATGCCTTGTTTGGTATTTATTACCACTGTGAGAGAGGAACTGGCAAATCCTGGGAGTAAAACAAGCCAAGACACCCCTCAGAACTGACACGAGCTTTGATTTGGTACCAATGGCTCCACCACGGGCTGCTGGAAAGGATGTGCCCTTTCTGGGTCCTCTTTCCTGATTGTAGCTTGTGAGAATTAGTTTAAAACACCCTCAGTTTTGAAATCTATTCATGAACCTACCCAACCTGAGTGCTGGTGTCAGTCCTTAACGTGACCAAGCAGTTTGGGAGCCTCCAGGGGGCAGGAGAGGAAGGGCTTCAAAAATGTTGAAGCAGCGAGATTCGAGGTCTCAAAGACACTGAAGGAGGTATTTGGGAACGATTTATATGGATTTATAGGATTAGGACTGTGTCCATAAGCTATTCTTGAGACAAAGCATCTTTTCCAGTGTCACTGTCCTGCTCTTACTGCAGTCTGAGCAAGATATCAGGCTTGGATTTCTTCAGTTTGGGTGAGGTGAGTGCTTTAAGCAGTTGGGAAAAAGTCAACTGGATGGATAATTCTGGGGGACTGAGGCTGAAGCTGATGGCAGCTTTTAACCTAGTAAATCCTCTGGTTTGGACTATTAAGTGATGTGTTTTTTCCTGAATCCAGGCACAACTGTGAGGCCACACTGAGTGAGTGACATCCAGTGTGATGTGGGAGATGATAGATACTTTAAATTCCTCCATCTGCCAGAATAATACCGTGATACCATCTCAGTTTGACTCCAGGAGAAGATCCTCCTCTGCTGCACCACCTCTGGGTGCAGCTCCCTCACCTCTTCTCCTGATGCAATTCCATTCATGGGAACTGATCTCACCTATTTCTGGGCTAAATGTAACCACAAACCCAGGGAATCTTGCCTGAGCCTGCACTGGTGAATGAGCCCAAGCATTGCAGTGATTTGTGACAGAAAACACCTTTTTAGTTCCCACCTTCCCTGTACAAGGATGTCACTTCATTCAAAATTCCAAGTTTGATTTGCTTTACTTTAAGAGCAGTTGGGCATAATTGGGGGTTAAAGAGCATGAAAACCAAGAAATTCAGTCTAGAGTGATCAACTGGCTGCCCCTACCATCCATTTGGTCTCTGTCCACTACCTGAACCCAAAACTGCAGCCTTGAAAAACCATCTTGTGGTTGCCACATTAACTCTGAGGGCTGTTAAACTCTGCAGGGACAGTTTTCTCTTCTCTTCTCTTCTCTTCTCTTCTCTTCTCTTCTCTTCTCTTCTCTTCTCTTCTCTTCTCTTCTCTTCTCTTCTCTTCTCTTCTCTTCTCTTCTCTTCTCTTCTCTTCTCTTCTCTTCTCTTCTCTTCTCTTCTCTTCTCTTCTCTTCTCTTCTCTTCTCTTCTCTTCTCTTCTCTTCTCTTCTTGTGCTTGGATTGGTGCTGCTGGATCTCTGCAGCCTCAGGAGCTGCAGACAGACTGGAATTAAGGAGCAGATGGAGACACCTCCACAGAATGTTACAAATGCAGAGACTTGACAAAAACGATCAGATAAAATGTATTTTATGGGAAGTGGGGGAGAAAATAACGTAAAATTAAATCAAGGAAGACGTGAGCCCTTTGCGTGGTGGGGACATCCCCTGGTCAGCATTTTCTTTGAAAAAAAATATGCCCCAAAAGCCTTCCTGCCTCCA